AAGTCTCAACCACATTTACTTAAATAAATAGCTCATAAATAGCAAATCCTAGCGCAATATCCTCTTCTGTAGTGCAGGATGAATAACAGAAGACGGTGTCAACCAGAGAAACCTGAGTCAGGAAATTTCCAACAACTAGGATATGTAAGGAACAACTTCTTGATGGATTTTTTCTTTTGCGAGGAAAAAACATATTTTTGTTCTCAAAAAACTCTCCTTTAAAACTCAATAGCTATTTCAGTGGTATTTAAGTAAAAGTTTTATTCCCATAAAAATCAAATTGCGTTAATGAAAAGAACATATCGTTAAAACACGCCAATCATAGAAGAAACTTCTGTCAATACTGGACAATGAAAAGCAAGTCAACAAAATAAAAGCTCAATAACACGTGAGCTCAAGTGTACCGAGCTGCACGACAAACGAACATGTTAATTTCGAAAACACGTTACGGAAAAGCACCAGCATTAATAAAAAGAATGACAAAAGAATTTGATATAACACCAAGTAACATCATCTAACTTTTATTACCTCTGAAATAATGATCGAGATATCGTGTTCTAACTTCACTAAATTGTTGCCACCATGGATATCTCTACTCATTTTCTTCCCAGCTCTAAGAAATTTGAAATGCTGCATGCTTTTTGAACTTAACAAATTGCCAAATCTTTAACGAAATAATGGTCACAATACATTAGAAAACTCAGAAACTGGGAACGCCGCATTACCTTTCCCTACCCTTTATGCTTCATTTCTATTGAACAAATTCTGCTACTGAGTTCTGAGGAAAGATAACTAGACTGGAGAAAACTTATCGGTTTATCTTATGAGAAACAATATGCTTTTCTACACATTACACTGCGACTTCATGGTAGATAAAAATAATTCATCTATGAATGTAAGTAACTTAAAGACAAACAATGCATACATAAATTTAAAGAAAAATAATGGATAAATGAGCATACACAACGCAGAGTATATAGGAATATTTCGGTAATAACAAATCAAATTTATAGTATTCGAAGGGTCTAACCAAAATCAGTCGACTGAGATAAGCATTCTTTGGAAAACATTCGGTAACAACGTACAACCACAAAGATGAACCGCACAAATATTTCGATATCAGAGTTAGCATTGGTCTTTATACCTAACGAAAACTGCCTTTATGCATAAAGATAACAAACTTACCAAGCAGAAAAAATGCGACTACTTGCAACAGCGTTACTGCTAATTCAGAAAGAGAGTAGTAAGAATGAATTATCGTTAATCTGTCTCTAACCAACTCGGAATTTCCTGAAAATATCGTATCTAAAAACACTTCTACTTTTGGCCAGGATTTTTCTATTGCTGTTTTACCATGACTAAAATAACCCAGTGATAAAAGTATTAAAGCTCGTCAGAATCATATGCAATAACTGGTGGTTGTGAGCCACCGTCACTTACAGATCTTTTCGAATCAAAAGAATCCGTTTCAGGAATACTAGATGCTTTTTTTGCTGCTCCTAGTGTAATTAACGCATCAGAATTGTAAGTGACAGCTATGACAGAAGTGCTCGATGAAGGAGGCTCATCACCATTTGTCCTTGCTGCTGGAATTGCGGTTTCTACAATTTCCGTTTTTTCAATCTCTTGAATTTCCATTTTAGCAGCAACGATCTTCCTGAAATAGATGATAGTTTAAACAACTACAAATTGTGTCTAAGAAGAAAAAACCACTTCCAATTGCTATATAGAAAAAAACCGATGTCAACCTTCGTCTGCTGGATGAGCCACTCGACGTCCTTTTCTTACATTTTGCAATTATGTTCACCTCACCAAGATCGATTTTTTCCTTCACAAGCACTTCGTGAACTTGTGAAGACAACTTTTTCTCAAAATAGCCCCTATTTGGGAGACAAGATATGATTGCACTAGCGACGGCCTTGTGGTATTTGAGATCTGGACGCATGGGATTGAACCTGAACATCATAGTATAAGCATGGATGCAATCAATGAAGCAATAAACATGCAGTAATTCTAGTTTAACATTAAACAAGTTTTGAAACAATGTGTTTTGTTCGTAAACAAAATACGACTTGTGTTTTCTCTTACATAACAAAGTAACCTTTTCACAAACCTTGTGTCATAGGATTCAGCAAATTTTTCGATTCGAGAGAATTCGATGAAAGGAGTGTACGTATTATCACCATACCATACAATGGATGCTCCATCCTTTTTGTTTTCCTTCACGAATTCATGAATTCGACCTGGCCAATATGGAAACATTCCATTCCTTGCCCAAACAATGTCGCCAATTCTAAAGCCATTATTCTCCATCGGTGCTGGGAAATTACGCGCAATCTCAATTCCTGCTGCGTGCATCTCTTGAGCACCTTCTCGCTTTTCAAACAACTGCGAGAAATTTTCTGTTGAAGACATATAAGTTTTCATAGTAATGGATTCATCTCCATCATTTCCATGATCAAAGTGCTAAAAAAGAAAACGATAGGCTAAAGATATGATAAACTTCTGCACCAGTTATGTAAATCCGTGTAAATCAAATCCGGAACTACACCTTACCTTCATTTCTTTAAATTGGAAAAAATTACATAAAAGGTCTATACCGCTAATATTATCAATTTCACACTATTAATATTACCAACGGAAATGCAAAGAAAAATCTTTATTGTTGACCACTAATTCATTTAAGAGAATTCAAGCCTACTGAGGAACATATCGTAACTAACAGGGTGATACATCTCGACTTCTGCTGAAGAAGCTTCGTCACCAAATATCACTCAGATCATGATGCAACAAGTAACTCACAGTCTTTATTTCTGTTGAAGTAGCTTTAATCATCGGTGGACATCCAGTATCTGAACGTCTTTGTGGAATTGAAGGACGGATTTTAAACACAGCTTTTTCAATAGCTGGCGGGTAACGAAGATCAGGTGCCGAACGTACTGAGGTTCGAGCAACGACGTCTGAGCTGTTTATAGGTGGAAAATACTGCACCTCACGCTTTGGTCGAAGGGATGGATTCAATTCATTCTTTTTGACTGGTTTCAGCACAATTTTAATCGGAGGCCGACATGGAAGATTGCGTTCCGTTACATTACTTCCACTTTCGGCCTTACTTGAAGTAAGACAGACTTTCTCCACTACGTCAAGTCCCGTTTTTTTCATTTCTGGGGAATCAAGAGACGAGAAAGAGGGGTTAGCAGTAAAACGAATAAGGGAACGATCAAGAGAAGGCATAGTAAATGGCTGTTGGCGGAAGGAATCTACGATTGGTGGACGCGAACGACATCTGAAAACGATTAGGAACAAAGTGTTCAAAGTATGTGAAGTAAAACACGTTAAAAATGACAGGAGCACAGAATCCACTTATGGCAACAAATGTCGTCAGATGATCTAAACTATAGTTTAAGATGCCAAATTCTTCACATGCTGTCCAAATGCATAGCATCTTAATCACTTGAAAATTCACTTCCATAAAGTGTTGGGTAAAACTTCAGTGGACCCACAACCATTCAAAATGTGAAAAAAAAACATACCCGGTTGATGGACAAATATCGTGTTCATTGGATTGTCGAACGAATGTCATATGTAACGAATCACTGACTGGTTTCCTTATCGAATACTCTGACGAAAAAGCCCTTCGAATTTTGTCGCTTTTGAATCGACGAGTGGAGCTACCGCTAACATTCCGGACATCTTTATTTCTAGCTGGTTCAGGATTGTTGTTCGAAAGCGAGTCAACTATTCCACCGGATGCGTTATTCCTTACCAGGTCCGAACTAACGCGACGATTTTTTATCGTTACCGAAGTCGGCAGCAAGCGGCTCTCAAACAGTGTGGAAAAATACAGAAAAAATATTCTAAACGGCAGTCACAAAACAGAATGGCGCATAAATTTTTTTTTAGCACCAACGATTAATTCAAAAAAGGTACACTTGATGAAAAAATTCTCCCGATAGCATCTTGCGTGATTCAAAAGTACTATCAACAAATATCTTCACTATCTCAGCATACTAATCCTCAATAGAGCAAAATGTCGACAGGAGGAGTTGGGACATTTCAGAATGGGCATCTCTTTTTTAAAGTTAAGCTTCCCAGGGTTGCACTCTTTTTCAAACCATCTACTCTGAAAATGGTTACCGTAAGAGCAAAGTGTCAATATGAAGAATATTTTTGGACCTTTCACACAAATACTTCAGCATACTGAATGAACTGTGATATATTTCACAAGAACAAGGTTTATACCCCTTCCCCCCCCCCATCTCCCCTATAAATGAAAACATCCTCATTCAACATCCGTGAATGGCAAAAGTTTTAATGCCACCACAGCAAATGCAGCCCGAGATTCACCAGCAAATCCCTATTTACAAAAAAATCTTCATTGAAGTCGTACACAGTTTTTGAAACACTCAACTTACCATTCCTGCCATTTTGATCAAAGCAGTTCTCTTCTCTGCATCGTAAGATTTGACAAAATAGCTTAACTTACATTAAAGCTTCACTATGTTCGTAGAAAAATTAAGCAGAAAAAGAAAGACTAACAGACTTCAACTTTAGGATGGAAAATGGATTAAAATCAAACCAGAAATGTTACTTTCTTCTAAGAACTTATTTTCTTGCTTTAAAGCTTAAACACACGCACTTAGTGAAGTACATAGTAGACTTGTTCGTGCAAGTACTGGCATATCGCATAAGCAGATAAATCTACTTCTTTACTGGGAAATTTGAGCCCCTTACCATCCAATTAGTCCTAACAAAGCTTTTTATTTAAGCATTATTCACAAGAAAAACCATAGATGAATTATAGACAGATAAAAGACTAAAGATGAAAAAAAACATACAGATTTCAATACTTGGTTCGAATTATTAAGAAGACAAAGAAATAAAAAAGATAAAGGATGTGCTACAAACTGGTTAGTTATAATGTCCAGAAGAATAGCCACTTGAAACTTTAAAATCTGTACTTTGAAATACTTTCTTGTCTTTTATGTTTAAAACAGTATCTAACAAACAACAAATACCTTAGCATGTTTATGTGAAGGTTCAACGTTGCACAACCCTCTCGCTGAACCTGTAATTAAATTACCATTAATGAGAGACGAACTTGGGACAAATAGCTTTAGATGATACCCTGCAACCTATTATATTTGAAGCTTTACAGCTTGTAGTCGAGAGATTTCTAACATATTTATAATTGTTCTAGATGAAAATGTGATAATGAAGTTTATCAATGAAATACCACTTGAAGGCCCGGGAAGAGGGTCGTATTCTGGTTCGAATAAATCCACTCCCGCAGGAACCAAGACGCTACAGGCACCACGTGGAACATATGCTTTCCTCTTATTCCTTCTTCGTAATGGTGCTGAACTCACGGAGGCATCTGAGGAATAATCTGCTGTTTCACCGCTTAAATGTTCGTCCAACAATTCATATCCAACCTCATCAACAACTATCTGCAACGGCAATCTGTCAACCGATAGACACTAACTCGTTTTTATGGAAAAAGACTCATTACGAAATCCCGAAACCAAGCAGAGCTTAACATGGTGACACCGTATCTCGATCTAAGAACTGGAAGTTGTGTAAAGATATCGATGACTACTAGGTACTTTTCTAGAGAATATAAATACCTTATTGTTTTCTTCCATTCACGAACATACCATCAATTATTCATCTTTGTAGAACTTTTGTGATGTAATACAAAAGACTGCTACCCAACATGCGAAATGTAAAATAGCATGGATATCAGTACGATGTACAGCAATGTTGCTACAAATGACAATAATTCGACTTGCAGAATTACAAAAGCGTGAAATTATAAGCAAAAATTGATGTGTTCCGTTGGCATCTTTGAATTTGGCAATGGAATGAAGCAAAAATTAGATGGAAAACACATGCATTTGGAAGTTATCTGGAAAATATATAAAGCAGAATACCACTAATACAATAACGATACAGGAAAAGATGAACTGATAGAAACATGCACATTGAAACATTACGTTTGAAAAAAAAGATTCCTATAGAAATAAACTATGAGAAGAGTAAATCGACTTTTTTTTTAGTGCAGTATTTTAGTTAGTTCGCAAAAATGAAGAAACTTCAAGCGATAAGCAAGATTTTCAAAGTTTGGAGAGTTCGTCAGAGCAGAAGAAAAGAAAGATTAGCTAATCTCAAGAAAAAAAAAAATGCGTAATAGAAGAAAAATAAGAACTTGTCGATAGTGGTTTTCATTTTTTTTCCTAATTTCCTTCTTTTACATTGATAAAATGAAGAATCACTTTAAGTTTTACTAGTCATATAAGTGACATAAATACCTTTCGATTAGCAAATTACATTTTATTATATCTACCACAATACACAAATAACAAATTAAGTCCAGTAAAAAAAAAAAAAAAAAAAAACAAACGAAGGACTAAAAATTGCAGTAGAATAAATTAGAATGGCATAGGAACTACTTTTTCGAAAAAAGCGGCAACTCGGAACATCCACAAATTAGATTTAAAACTTTCATAAAGTTATTCCCCTATTCAAACAATCAGTTTTTCACATTTCATTCTAATAATTTCAGCAGTTGCAAGAAGTTAAAACTGATTTAAAAAAAACCCCAATTACCCTAGGACATTTGCATGAAAAAAGCAAAACAGTAAGAACTACAGTTAGTTTCGCTGAACCTGCTAAATTCCAATTTAATGTTTTTCGTAAACACCATGCAGTCAATCATGCACGATCATGGCATTTAATTATTTTCTTCCTGAATAATTTTAACGTCCGTTTCCAATATTAACAGCAGTACACTCTAAAACGTAACAGTGACACATATTTCTTAATACCTCTTGATATCTAAGCGACTATCAATTAAATTCTTACCTTGTCGTAGAACTTCTCATCTTCGTTTTGATATATTGGTATATATGTGACTTTTAATTTTTCCTATTGGTTTTTTTTCCGCTCATTTTTCTTTCATGCTATGTTTATTTAGCTTTATTTTGAAATGACATTTTGAAAAGATAAGTTTTTAGGCAATTTTATTGCTATTTATTGTTTGAACAGAAAATGCACAATGAAAACAGACCGGTTTTTCTGAGGACGGTAACTGAGCCACTATACGTTTCGTTTCTTTGGGAAATGATTGCAGTTTCCGCTGGTTGGCATTAACGAAGTGTTTGCGTGTTATCTCAAAAAACTGGCGGTCACAGAATGGATTTTTTAAAGAGGAAAATTTCTGACAAATTATTTAATTAAATGATAGTAGACATCTGAAATTTAGGATATTTTATTATATTTTCCATATATGATAATGAAAAATGCTTGAAACATGAACTTGATGCAAATACATAAGGTTTTAGAATAATGCACAGTAAAGCGCTACCAATATAATAAAACTAATGGATAATGAAGATGAATTTAAATGAAGAATTAACCATTTCATTATCTGGAATGGCTTCCATACAACTGGCACAAACCATACGACCGTTTTTGCGCATGTAACTCCGAGCGCGTAATTGAAGACCAGAAGTGGTAAATCGCTCACCAATTACAGATGTCCATTGATCAATAATAGGTGCATCCACGTATGCTTTAACTGTTTCCCGAAATCTTGACATATCCTCGCTGATGATACCCGGTGTTCCATTTGCACTGCAATTAATAATTACGGAAATCTATAGACATCGACATATTTACATATATTTATTACGATAAAACTTTATCTCGCCATTCCAATTCTGTCATCTTCAGTATGTAATTCGGCTGCTGATCCATCACACATCAAATACAAAAGAATGCACATTATCGCATTCCATATTATAAGAGGCTCCTAGAATTTAAGGGAAGGAAAAAAAAAATAAACAGCAAATTCAGTAATTTTTGAGTGTTCGAAACAATACTACAACATAGAGCTTGAAGTTTTGCATGAATACATTACCATTACTATGTGAAAAAAGGCCATAACTTTGAAATAAATAATACAATTAGCACAATCTTGGAGAATGGGAAAATGCTTTTTAAATATGTCATACACTCACCCGTTCTCAGCAAGGAGAATACCCGTGTACTGAGTGCTTTCTTGCTTATACTGCACCACCAAAACACCAGGAGATGAGCGTACAACTTCAGCTTCAATTACCTGTGGCATGTCTGAAGTTTCTACCGAAGTCTCCGCTAAAATCATAACTAACAATAATACGAGCAACCACTGGAAGGCCCAGCAATGGATTGAATAGAATGTTCGATGCATGCAATTACATGCTTCTTCTGCAGTATATTATAACACATTCCACACGTAGAGCCATAACGAAATAATTTTGAAGCACCGATAAAAAATAACATGGTGCGATCCAAAAAATCACATTCTAAGGAATAACTTTAAATGCCACAAAAAGAGATAATACAAGCATGTGAAGCTTCTAGTTTTTAAACCAGATTCCAATTGAGAACTAAATACTGAAGATATGAAACATAAAAGTGTAAAGACACATATCATGAACGTACTTATAAATAGAAATTTTTTTTTTTTTAATTTGACACTCAATTCAATTTACATATATTCTCGACGAAGTAAACACAAAGCAAATACATAGGTAATTAGGTGGTCTTGCAAAAAATTGAAAAAACGCAAAAACTTACAAATTTTCGGGGGTACGCTCGTCCCACGCTGTGTCGTGGATTGCATACGAAGACTGGCGGAGAGATTCAATTCGTAATTTTTACGATTCTGGACAATCTGATGACGCTGTTTCTCAGTAGGCAGCGGAAATCGACCCATGCTATAAAACACTATACACTCAATCATTTACCTCCGCAAATAACTAATAGGTACGTGAAATTCACAACACAGGAAGTAATATCAATTACTGAACGTCGATCAGACCAAGAAGACCACCGAGGACCAGTAGCTAACCGCTCCGCAACAAGTGTATCCACCACTAACACAACATCGAATATAAAAAAATTCAACTGGCAAACTGAAGTTTTCTTGTCGAAATAAAGAGTTTACATTCACTTCGAGCTAAGACTTAATCAGTATAAAGCCTGAAATAAGCCTAAAGCAGCATTTACTTCAGATCTAAGGGTAAATTTTTTCGCCGAAAGTTATGCGATCCCAATGCTCCAAATAAATCCAGTTTCCATCATGAAAAAGAAACAGTACAAGCACCTACCTCACTTCACGGTCGTCAAATCACGTCCCCGCCATCATTACAAAAACACTTTCTAAATCTATCAGCTTATGTCAAATTGTAATTGGTCTACTTCCTTAGTGGTTTTTCGATGATGTTTTGACCTCTCCATTTAAAAAAGATTTCTGTTACAACAGATGATGTGTTACAAATTCGCTAAAAATATGTTATGAGTCTCAGCATCTCAAACTATAGCATCCATAAATATTTATATACTCTAATTTATCAAATGAACCATATGAAAGGCAGCAAGCAGAACATTCTTTCCAGACTAAGTCAAATTTTGAATTTAGTTAATGATAAGTCTGTGAATGAAACTATGAACGATGAATGTACCTGAATAATTCTATCACTGTTTAAATAGGAAATTTTGAAAGAGTATCCCAGGGTGCAACTGACTGATCAGTCACTATCACAAAGTTATTAAGTAACATGGAATCTGTACATGGAGGATAAAATACAAAACGATTAATACATTTTGTAAAAAAAAAATGATAAGGGCAGAGGGACAGAGGGAGGAAGGGGAGGTGTACAGATTTCTGCACAGAAAAGAAACTCGCACTAGGCTCAGTGCTAACATGACAGTATCAGATTCTCAGTCAGATCAATATTACCCAATATCACCCTCCTCCAGTTACTTCCTTACAAAAATAGCACGAAGTGGTTTTCATCTTCAGATGGATTAATTTTTGAATTTTTTCTCCTTGTACTATTATAGCTATTCATACCAAAAAGACAGAAAAGAGAAGCAATGTAACTTTTACAGTGACAATCCCAGCTTCGATCCACATTGAAAATGACATAAAAATAATGGTTATTAAAGTCATCTGCAATTTACCATTAATTTATTAAGGTATATGGTGAGCCATGTAAAAACATTGATGAAATGGAAACTATGAAGAAATTTTAATATTACAACATTGATTTTCACCACCTCTGGTTCGGTAATCCGTAGCATTAAATAACTAATAGAAATGAATTAGGCCAGAACAGAAGGACGAATTTGTACAGCTCAAAGATTTGTCACATCTTTATGCACTTATCGAATTTTAATTCAAGAATCGACAGCTGGAAAGCATGCGAATAGGAGATGAATGACATCCTTCGCCATATATCACTTGAGATGTAAAAAAAAAAAAAAAAAACAAAGCAATCTGGAAAACATATTTTCCCTCAAAAAGTAAAGGCACATAATGAAGTAGGATCAAGAAAGATCTGAACTACCTGAAGGGAGCATTCCCTATCTTAGCATAAGTTGTCGCCATAACCAACTGAGTCTTCGAGAACTGAAACTGAAAAACTAAAAACAAACGATCGAAATAATTATGAATTTGAAAAGGTACTCATCAAATATATTTTTTAGTTTCAGTAATACATTTTATGGATAAAAAATAATTACTCATTTTCAGAAATGAATCAGCAGAATATCGTTCACGTTTAGAAATTATATTCATACCCCAATAATTTACGTTTTGCTACCAAGTTCCTTACTACAATATCTATAAGCAGTACCTCATATGCACAGCTTTTATTTAAATAATAATCTTATACAAATATTAAGATAGGATAGGGAGGTTAGTGCTGCAAATATTAAAATAGAAAGGCGGCAGGAAAACGAGACATTCCTGAAGTTTATAAAGCACAATGACAAAAACCAAGATTGACTCAATTTCCACAGCAAGCAACCTAGTAGCTAATTTGCATTTACGAATGATTATCAATGATTCAAAATATATAACCGGATCTTGCTTTATGCCGATTGTAAAGAAAGTGATGGAAACACGAAGCCGAATTAAGGACTTAGCACTACCCGACCACACAGAATAAAGTAAGAACCTGTCCATCGAGTATATAATCCGATTCAAAGCATTTAAACACTCCAGCATCTCCTTTTCAGGAAACAATGGCTTACAGCCAAAAAAGTCTAGTAATTTGAGTCGAAATAACGCTCATCTCCATCATCTCAAAGAATGAAAACAAATTTCCCGCTTTGGTTCGTCTATACGTAACAAAAAGACCCCAAATCCTACACGAAACAATCATGACCATATCTCTGATTCTATACAACGGCAGTCAGTAGGATCTAAGAATATTTTTGCTTTCTTTATTTCAAACAGCACCTTGCCAATTAAGATATGACCTATAAGTAGTAGTAAAACTTATGTTCAGAACCAAAACGATATCGCAATTTGATGCATGATGCAATCGCATCTGAGCAGAACAGCTACCCGTAGTGTACATATACATATTTTTATTAACATTTTAGAAAATTACACTGATTTACAGGTAAGTTCCACTTTTCCACTTAAGTTATACATTACATATACGATTAAAATAAAATTATCCCATGCAAAATAATAACTGGCATAGTCAATTCAGATTCAACTTCGAGATCACATTGAAAACAAAGCGCTAAAGCGACAACTTAACGAAGTATTGCCTACATAACAATACTGTATCTTAATCCTTTTTACGGAGAACTAATGTTAGCAGTAAGCAATACTCAACCACACAAATGCATGTTAGAAGCATCATCAAACACAGAAATAAACATAAAAAAAAGTAGAATCCATGAATCAGTGTTTTAGAAATCTAGATTCAACTTCCGACGTTCAACGATCTACTTCACCAAAAACAATATCCATTGTACCAATGACTGCAACTACATCAGAAATCAAACTCATATGTGTTAAGTCGTGTAAACCAGCCAAATGCGCAAATCTGCAATATTTGAATCAATTTTACTTCAAAATAAACAGAATTCATACAATCCAAGACTTTATGCTTGATTATTCTATTAAAAACGCGTTCTCACTAAGGCTTTAAACTCGTGTTAAACTAACATCAACTTTGTTTATAATTTTATGTTAAACTGAGATTAACTTCATGTTTAATTAAGATTAGTTTAGCTTACGTTAAACTGGTATTAAATCGCTAACAATTTTGTTATTTAGTCCAATTAAATTGCATAACAAAGTAAGCAAGTAAATTTACATGAGAAAATGGAACATATATAAAGTCTTACATCTATTATTCTAAAAGATAAAACCTTATAAGCTAAGGAGATCTGATCTCCACGAAGTGTCGGTGAAGATAATAATGAAAAGAATTCCTAGCAACTTTTTTCATTAATGTAAATAAATCTATCCAGTGGAATTACATGAAAGTTGTAAAATTAAACATCTACAAAGCTAAAAACAACAACCTTATTTAAATGTTCCTTCCCGTAAAAATCTCAGTTCTTTTGAAGATTCTTCATAGCTCTTTAAAACAAATCTTCCTGCTGTTAGTCTTTACTACCTCACAGCTTTTCCCAATATGTAAATTGAGATAATTGCTTCTCTAAATCTACAAATAACGCACTGTCCGAAATGAATAGCAAGGTTCAAACCTAACAATTTACATTACCACACAAAAAAGAAAGATGAGCAAAAATGGCTTACCCCGGCCCCCGGATAAAACATCGATACGGCTTTGATGTCCCATCTGCAACTACATAAGTACCGTACTCACCGTTCGGAGCTTCTATAGGAACATAACAGCTACCCGGTGGTACTTGATAGCCTTCAGAGAAGAATTTAAAATGATGTATGAGCGACTCCATGCTGTTCTACAAATATTCCCAAACGTACTCCTATGCATGCGGAAACAAATCAAACTTCAGTTTCAATATGAAAAAAAAAAGTGTGATAATTTTTTTCAACCTTCATTTCTTCTCGTTTCGGTGGTACAACCTTATGATCGTCTATCTTAATTTCTCCTGGAGGCATTTTGTTCAAACAGTCTAGTACAATCCTTAAACTTTGACGCATTTCTTCTAGCCGACAGAGATACCTAAAAATATAAAAATTACAACATAAAACTGGATTAAAAAATTCAGCAGTGATATGCATAGGTACCTATATTGTCACAACAAAGAATGTCACAACAAACCATATACTTTTCTTGCTCATTGCCTACCGATCATAACAGTCGCCCCTTGTTCCAACAGGAACATCGAACTCGATCTGATCGTAAACTTCATAGGGTTGTGCTTTCCTCACGTCGTACTTAACTCCGGATGCACGTAGCATAACACCCGAAAAACCCAAACTTTGTGCATCTGCCGCAGATATCAAGCCAATATCACGTGTACGACTCTGCAATCAAAAAATAAAAGAAAAACAAATGTTCCACACGATTAATGATAAACATTTAATTTTTGCTTTCAGTGAGCACCGCTTCAACAAACAATAAGCTAAATTAGCTTTTGAATAAACCATTGAAACTTTTGAGTTCTTTAAAATTAAATCTGACCAAACTTATAAATGGAAGTCTATTGAGTGCTTCATATACTTTAAATCAAAAAATAATTTCATTCACTTTATTAAACAAAAAAAAGACATTAAAAAAAAGAAACATTACCTGCCAAAGTCGATTTTCGGTAAGCATATCTTCCATGGCATCAATGCGTTGTGGAAACTGGATGGTCCAATCATATATGTCATCCAACAGACCCAGTGGCAAGTCCCACGCCACTCCACCCGGTCTTATATAATTCACATGCATTCTTGCTCCTGAGACTCTCTCACTGAAATCAGGCTTGTAGGATGCTTATCATCAAATGACACTGGCAGTAGAAAAGGAAGAAAAGAATTAAATAGAAACGAAAAACAGCATCTCTAGGGCTGGTTATGAGTAGTTGACTGGACTCCAACAAGTAAAGAATACCATCTTAATTTTTTGTGTACGTATCACACTACAGAATGCAATACGAAGATGAATGTATCAGTTACTTTCTAAACGAAGTCAATTGAATATTTCTCGATATGTTCGATGCTAAAAAATAAGTCTAAGCCTCGAGATGCTACTACGATTTTTCGCATTTAAAGAGCAATAGAACGCAAGATGCATTACTTTATCATTAAAAGAGAGTAGCCAAATAAAATTAGCGCGAGATGCTTCGTTAAAAAATAACATTTTTCAGCATAACAATGTCAAAAAATTGTATATCCAATAGTTATTTATAATCAGTATAATGCACTTTATGACTTAGCTTCTACTACCAAATCCGCCTCAGCAGTCACGCTGAGAACTACAGCTTTTTCACGAGAAGACGAGAAAGAAAACTGGAGCAGATGTGACTCAAGAGTTGAGAAATCACCGCGTTAACCGCAGAATTTTAAACTTATATTATCTTTTTAGTATAAGAGAGATGTGTTCAAGGACACCTGAAATGAAATTACAGTTTAGTTCAGACCAGGCTTACCAAAATAACATTAGTTTTGAGAACTATCGTATCAAAAAAAAATGTAGATTACAAACACCTTGACTTCACAAAGGACGAAAATCACTCTAAGGGTGAGAATGTGACAAATTGATTAGAAGGAACATATAACAAATATTTTTTTATATTAATGGACTCTACAAGAGAGATATAACTACTGTCAGCTCTACAAGAGAGATATAACTACTGAAATTGAAAAGTCAAGAAATCATCAAAAGTTCTGATTCTATTTCAGTTACTCCAGCTTCAAACTTATCAATAGCAGATATATCTAGCATTAATCCATGCTAATGCTATCTATTATTGGAAAAATCAAGACATTCTTTTTAAAATTCCACATCAGAGATTCATATATATATATATATATATAAAAAGTGAAGGAAACAAATTGCACCCAGTTTCAAGTATATGATGACATAAGCAAATTAGTTACCAGAAAGAGGATAGCGTGACGGAAGTGACAAGACACAAGAGGTTACCATTCCAGAACAACTTAAAAACCATAAATCTCCAATTAGTAAGCTAGACAACTTATATGTCACTGCATTCGAGACAAAAAAAGACAGAAAAAAAAAATGAAAATGGTGTGGATGAGACATGTCATTTGCTTCGCCGACAAATGAATCAAGAGTCTTTAATATTAAAAAACCTACGCAATGAAAGTAACCATCAAAAGTGAGTTTGCAAAAAAAAAAAAAAGTCATTTACTTGAATTCGAACAGTTTTTCGCGTTCTTCAAACATCCAGAATAAAGGCGTCATAGCACCAATATCCAGTGCATGCGTCACAATACTAAATGCGTGATTTGCAAGACGATTTAATTCAGCGAATAATGCTGCAAAAAATTAAGCTATTACAAAAAGCAAATACCATGAATTTTTGTAAATTGGGAAAGAACTCACTGCGAATCCATTTAGCTCGAGGAGGTATTTCAATCCCCAACAATTTTTCAACAGCTAGTGCAAAGCCTTGCTCATTTGTGAGCATCGTTATATAATCCAAACGATCAAAATATGGAAGAGCTTGAATATATGTCTTGTATTCAATCAATTTTTCTGTAGCACGATGAAGTAACCCAATGTGAGGTACTGCTTTCATAACCATCTGTAAAATATACATACACGATGAATAACCATGCTATAATGAATTACAGAAAAAACGTGAAATAATAAACGAACTTCATTATCTAATTCTAAAATCAATCGCAGCACACCATGAGCTGCTGGATGCTGAGGACCGAAGTTCAAAAGATAATAATGCAGAGGTTTTTCATGGAAATCTGCAATATCTGACATTCTCGGTCTTCTGCAATAATTTTCTAGTATCTCGCTCGTCTCAACATGTTTCTCATATTCAGTTGTCTTTGCTGCCCAAATACGACCAATCACACTTGCCTTCTGAACCATATATTAATTAGCTTTTCTGCTAAATACAATACAATTTAGATATGATAATATAGAGTTTATTTCAAAAATGTTTGTTACGCTAGTTAATACATACAAGTGTATTATTGATAAAGACATACTTTAAATTCGTGATGAAACTTTGCATCTGGAAACCACAACGCGTGGGAATGGCGGACATTCTGTCCTATACTAGATCTCAGCTTAAGCGACAATAGAGATAAAGAAGAGGAACGAACAAAAGCCATGTCTGCTAAAAACAGCGTTAAAGTGATGCTGTAAAATATCTCAGTAAAACGTCACAAATATTACTAATTTACCACATAAATTCAGATCTGACCTTACACACAATTCAAAACTGTAACAATGTATTGTTGAGTGTGTGACAGTGAGTAACAGTTCAATTCCAACTAAATTTTGCAAGATGCGATTTAAAATGGTACTTCGGACCACCTCTCCAACCAACCATAACCTATTCTTGCAACACAACCTCCATAACACTAACGCATCTTCCACTTTTACAGATTCCATGACCACTGCTTCTCCTATGTATGCCGAATGCAACAATTGATATCTCACTAACGTGGACCAAAACTAATCTATCATCGCACACTACTTAAAGCAACTGACAATTCTGATATTATTCAGCAAGTTCTTCTGCGGATATGAAAAGTATCGGATATTGATTTTACGTAACAGCAAAATGTCAGAATGGGTGTCGTTTGTAGCTAGTGGTTGTCATTTTAAAATGCACTCAAACTACTTGCATCCAATAATGAAAGTTGATGAAATCAAATCAGTGGAGATAATGTATAAGTAAAAGTGAAGAGAAACAGTTTGTAATTTAGATTTCGTAATAATTTCCGTGAAAAGCAATTCGTAACAGCAAAAGATTTTTCATTCTGTGAGTTATAGATCACATAATGCAGAACTGAAGTGAAGAAGTATACGAGGTAATTTGATAATGACGCTTAAACAAACAGCATCGAACTGCAAACTGCAAGTTTTGCAAGCTCAGCGCGAAATGAAAAGCACCCCACCTCCCTCTCCCCTCCATGTTCAGTACTGATATCACTTAACACCACTTCGAGTTTCTAAGCAGTCCAATATATCTCAAAATACTTACACAGACTTCATCTTAAAAATTCGTCAGTGAAATGCAAAGTATTTCAAGTTTTACTGATATCTTCAGCAGCTGAGTATATGTTATGAGAATGGATAAAAATTCGATTTCTGGTTACGTCGAGGAACTCTTCAAAATAATCCGACATACATTCAGCAACTTCGTCTGACTCTTCGCCATTCATTTTAGTATGAAAAGCAATTATCAAGAAAACTGATGAGGTTTCTCGACGACTGATCAAATGTGTCACTAATATATCACACCGCAATCTTCAACAGATCGTAACTCGGATTGCAATTCCAAATACTTCATCTGATAAGAATTGATTTCTGTTGGGATAATTGTAATCCCACATTTGAATTACTGTAAAGCATAGTTTTTTCTACAACGTGAATAAAAGACTGTCTTCATGCCGTCAACGTGCCAGCAACTGACCTACCAGTCAAGCTATCGTATTATGGAAAAATACAACAGTTTAAAATTCAGTACCTTTCAATATTTTCTCTATTTTCACAACTATAATTCAAATTACTAATGCATTATCAAGGGCATTCTACATATCACTAGATTTTTTTCAGAAAAACAAGTATTGCTGGATTTTCTTCCTAACGGCCGCAAGATGAGAAAGTCACTTAAAAAACCTAGAGTCTCTCTATTAATCTAGACAATGGTAATAAATGAAGGTTATGGAACAAACTTCTGTGCGGTCCATTACCCGAATAAAGAGTACAAAAAACAATTTAACGCCTACCTTCCTCATCCCAATTCAATAGAACGATAATGAGACTATTTGCAATGTAAATCTGAAAAAATAACTATACATATAGTTCTCAGAAAGCAGGTAGAACGAAAAATCTGCTCAATTTTTCTGCGCATTTCTGGATAAGAAATAAGTTATTTCCCTAAAGGTGCCACCAGTAAGACCAATTTCTGGATTTTTGTAAAAAAATAAACGATGAAAGGCTTATTAAAATATATAATTGATTTGTGATTCCCAGCATGTTCCAGAAAGCTAATAGTATTTAACGGTAACTATTATGTTAGTCTGAAAATTGATGAACTAATCAGAGCTTCCATGCGATTGTTTTCGGACTGAACTATATTGTCAAATCCATTACTAACTACAACAACTACTGCAATGTTGCAAATTCTCTGAGTTCAATGTTCCATTAGCAGCTTTTTTTAAACCAATTTATGACGAGAAAGTAGACAACTGAGGATGCCACTATTATTCAGATTCATTTTACTATATGTAATTCATTACGTATTATTTTACCTCAAGAACATCAACAACAGTAGATATTTACAACTCATTTTTTTTCTTTCGCAGCAGTGAAGTTAATTGTTACACCAAACACGACGATGTTATTCACAATGCAAATAAATTATCATACTTCTTACACCGCCAAAGTTTCAAATCATCATGTTATACAAGAACCTGCACTGAATCGATTCATTAGTTTCAGATTTCACAAAAACTGTATTCAGATCAACTTTCCACTATACTGCCTTTCATTCAAAATACTGATATTGTGGGAGTTTTTTTTTTTACTAATTTAATAATTCTCCCATGTGTTTTACGTTCAGCTAAACAAAAAACCGACTGACGTCAGATCAACAGTAGAAGATTTGATACAATGGCTATGATTCTGGAACAAAGGGAAAGTCTACGACACGACGTCACCTTTCAAGAAAATGTAAAAAGTTAACTTTGTAACTAACCTATCCTAATATCAGAACACGAGAACTGGAGCAGCAATTCAAAATTAGGGTCTCATAATTAGCTGACCAGCCAGAATTACCTTTTCATCACATAATTTCCTTTACTACGAATCGCCTATTTACAAAATTGTTAATAGCAACTCAAAGTTATATGCGGCAGCTTCGTTATTACAGTGAAACAGTTTTCTGAAACATATCGTAGCAACAACTGACTAACGAAAATCAATTTTTCTTTTTTTTTTTTTTGTTTCAAAATTTGAAGACATATCTGTGAAATCCTCGCAACTCAGTGAGTCGAAATTTCATTTCAGAAACTTAGCCTTTTCCAGCATCAGAACTCCAGTCCTTTTTAACATATACGCTGCACCCATGTTCCTTTAGTTCAACTTGGCAGTTTTCTTGAATTTAAAACGAAACTGGTTTTCCCATTAATGGAAACTTGAATATCATTTCTCAGCGACACATGTCAAAAAAAGATATAGGCAATCCCCCTGAGAACCAAAACTTACAAGATACTGAAACACATTTAAATAATCAATTACACTACTCTAAAATCATGAGCGATAATCCAGATTTTTTAAGTGCATGGACACTACCGACAGCTTAAGTAGTGGTTGAAATAAAAAAAATCTAACAACTGACGTACTGAAAGTGCTCAGGAAACGCAAAGCCATATGTCATATAATACGCTTACAGCAAATAATGGTAAGATATGGATGACTGAACTCATCAGAAGAAAAACGTAGCTTCAATTTATTTGGGAAAAGATGACTATGTGCTAAATTTCTCATTTAAACTTATGCTATCTGTTGCAATATTTATCTGTTCACAAAGACTATGCATTAGTCAGTGCAAATAATAAATATATATAACGTTACCACTAGCAATAACTCTGATAATTCGGCGTTTTCGGCGTAGTGTAGATACAGCGATTTGTTCATATCATAACGTTTATATTTCTAACATATAATCACATCTCTCATTAACTGAACTGAATATAGAGGAATTTTGTTGAGTTAACATGAATTAACTGAAAGACACCCGGAACCCGAGTTTTTCAAATTCAATGAACAATCCGCTTCTTTCCATATTTTCCAGAAAAGAATGAACTTCACTTCACAGAAAACAAAATAATGACACGTGAATTAAATTTCCGCTTAGGTCTCCCAACCATACGACAAAATGAGCAAGCACCCAGACCACATAAAGACCACCAACCACATAGCAAATTTAAACAGCCAATTTGCAATTCCGCTCCTTCAAAAGATCCATTACCAGAGCGCAACGAACCCTCTCCCCTATTACCACATCCACTGCTGTCTATGTTCGTCTTCCATCCTCATCGTAATTATATTTAGATGAGCCATTCCTACATTTTACATTCCATTGAGTGCTACGCAAAAGCATAACCTGACCTGAGATAAAGATTGTTGCTTTGTATCCTTGAGTACACATTGTTCTCTCAAACTACCGCTGCTCCCGTTAAAATTTAGCATGGAGGGGAACTACTTAATACTTTCAAGGGCATAAGAATTCATTCGAAATCTCAAGAATTAGTCAGATTTACTTATCGATGAATTTCGTAGCACTGGTATTATCTTAAGCATTTGTTCAGGAAACAGATCGAATTAAATGTTAAAATCTTGGAACAATTTGGGATTCTGGTTGTCCAAATCCTCATTTCAAAACTACTGTGTTACAAAATATGAGAAGGTGTATTTCGTAACAGTTACCTATAAAATATGACATCTTTACAGTGTTAACAATTAACTGCTACTTGGATAACAGTGCTAAAATAATATCGTAAGTGCATGTTTCATCTTTCTTACCGACAGTCCATATAACTGCTTCAGACTTTTCCAACTTGGAAGTGTGATTTACTTGCCAGTCCTTCGCTTAATATCGTGTTTATATCTTAGATAAATAACACTGTGCACAGGTAACGAACATTCTCGATAGTGAATCATCTATCCTATGATGAAGTGATATCTGTCTTTTATGATGAAGTTTTAGAGAAAGTCTTGCTTGTCTATAGCATTAAGGAATTGGAATAAACTTTCCAGGTAAGAGTAAATCACAAAACATAGTAATTCGGGCAATCTTATGCATCTGCTATTTGAAAACATTATCATTCAGTCGCTTCCTTCACACGAAATAATTGACAGAATTATGGAAAAGTCTTATTAGTATTTCATTCTGTGAAAATATGTGTAGGTAAAAGGAACAAAATATGAACTATTTTTTGATGTAATTGACAAGGAATATTCCGACCTTGTTACGTGGCACTTTTAGTGCTGATATTAGCGCAGTAAATTTTTATGAGAATAATGATGAAGTTTGGTCTGAAGTGAGTAAAATTATTTAAAAGATATAACTTTTTCAAGAAAGAACTCTGACTGCAGTCATGTTTTTGAATTTTGTTTGTACATTAACTGGTTTTCAGAGGCACTATTGTCGTCATGCAAGGACAGTTGCTTCTTTCTTTTTTTTAGAAGTTTCCACATTCAGAAAAAAGTTAGCCTGTAGATGAATGTGCATTTATGCTTCTACTTATGTAAACGTTTATTTAAATTGGTTTCTTACGGGAATCCTTTCAAATCGTTTTCATCAGTTTTCTCGGATTGGATAATTTTGTATATATGTCCGACATCACACTGAATTTGTTCCAGTCCTCATTTCCCTTCAGCCATTCCTGATGACGATGGGAACAAATGTACGCCTTTTGGGATCAGCCGAGTTCGGTGCTACAGCTGTAATTGGAGATGATTCATCTTGCCATCTTACAATAACAAGCGGTTTTTCGTTGTCATCAGCTGCGCATATGCTGGGAGGATTTTCAAAACTTACGTCGTTGAATCATCCCCATCTCTGCAAATACGTCGAGTTTATTCGATCAACAGTTCGTATGTTTCGCATATGAGCAAGTGATGCCTGTCTTACTAAACTTTTTTGTTTCAACTTTCACCTGCTCTTAGTTCTCATTTCATTACTTGAATGTGAAGGGTACAAATTGAATTCAACTTTTGAGGTTATAGTAGTTGAACTTAAAATGTTTTTAGCGGCTGACAGGTGATACATTGTTAGAAAGTCTGAATGAAATCCGAACAACTGGATTCATCATGCATCTGAGGCATCAGTACTATAACATTTTTCAAAATTTGCTGTTTTGAAGCTAAGATCATTATTTCATGACTTTAAATAGTTTTTATTGTTGTAATGATATGTCAGCTTTTTTGTACTGACGAAGGAATTACAAAAATAGTATCTTTGCATTTTTCATAAATCTGAATTTAATGATTTTAGTTGGGAATGCAGGTTTCGTGATTTCGGAGCATTATTCACGATCAGCCGTTGAAGAATTGAAAGAATGTAAAAAGTAAGCTATTTTATTAACTGTCCATTTTTAGAATGTCATTGACTATCTGTCACTTAGTATCTGGGCTTATAGTATGAGTCACTTTATTGTTCGTAATATTGCATCGCACTGATGTATTGATGTATACTGACCGGTACATATGCACAAAAGTTGTGGATTAGTAATATGTTTTCTTCTTGCAACTCTTTTCCACTGAGTTCAAGATTCTATTCCACTAAACCAGCTTCTAGATTTTCATTCAGAATTCTTTTAATTGAATTCCAAGCTAAAATTTAATATTGAAGAGTTCCATGTGTAATTCAGCAGTTTGTTTCACATGGTATTCCACGTTTAATATTAAGTTTGAGTCGTCAGTTAGATATCCATTCTTTTTCATCAGTAGTCAGAAGGTTGATTTTGTGAAAGAATAGAAGTTTACTTAAGAGTGGAATGTTAGGGAATGGATGTAGAAACTTAGCTCTAGTAATTATCAACGTAATACTGCTTTTATTTAATTTAATTAAATTGTCCTCATGAAGTAGAAGTATCATATTTTTTGTGATTTTCATTTTTTTTTTAGCTGGTGGCGTTATTGATACGAAACATTTTTTAAATTTTCAATGTTTCATAAATATTTTAGCAGAAATATAATCAGATTCAAAAGTTTTAGGTTGGAAGTAGCGCGAATCATATCGTTATTGCAACCGGTCTTGTCCGCTTTCACGTATTTGCATTCTCGATATATCACTTTTGGATGCTTCAGCTTAAATTCAGTCCTCCTTTCATCTCAGGTAACATGTTGTAACATCTTATTCAACTTTATGACAACATTATTGTTATGTTGCAGAATTTAGTTCGACTAGCTCAGTATGGTTTGCACTGCATCAGTGGTAGTAGAAGAGATTTAGAGTATTACACATATTCTTCTTGGTACCTTCCTCCAGAACGTTTCTTGCAAGCCGAAATCAAAAACGATTTCATTTGTCGAGCTGGAGATATCTGGTCATTTGGAATTGCTGTACTTGAGCTTTCAATCGTATGTCAGTTTCTTTGTTTTATAAATTTGAATCTACATGGAATCCATCTTCCGTAATTTCTGTTTTCGACATCTAACGAAGTTTCATATTCTTTCATATTTTATGGACTGAATGTCATATGCGATGATATATTCCTCACTTTTAAAATAAATCATTTTCAGGGGTGTCTTCTGTCCGAAATTTGGTCTCCAAAACAGTTTTATTCTACACTGAGTGTTTTAATCAGAAGTATTTTTTGTAATTCATGCATACATATTCGTCTTTATTAAAAATTTAGTTGTCCAATATTTTCTATTACATTTTTTTTTTTTTTTGTATAAATTACCCAAGCTTCTATTTCTTTATTTTTTCAAAATTTAGCACAATAACGGTGAATCAGTTTTAAGTATTTTATGGATTTGTTGGAACTACGGTCACCTAACTTGAGCAGTTATTAAGTCATATAAATATATGAGATTGTCGAGCTGTTTGTATAATTTGTCATCATTTTTTTTTTCATGCAAAAAAATACACTTAAGTTGAATTAGGTTCTAAACGAATACAACTTTTACAAGTTGAAAATTCTAACAGTCGATGGGTTTTTCAGCTGGAGTGATTTAAGTATTTCTAGTGTTTTAAAATTTTAAAGATAAAGGACGGAATGGCTCCATTTTCTCGTTATTGTTAGCTAAAATTCAACAGAAGAAACCAAATATTCATATTACGTCAAATATCGCAATTATGATAATACTTGAGAAAGCCCTATGTGTTCTTCCGTCACAACGACCTACTGCGAAGGCGTTACTTTCTGTAAGTACTGCTAACATGCATTCAATTATTTATAAATTTATTGCTGACATGAAATTGCAAACATTTGCTTAACAAAACTTCATAGATAATCAGCAGTGAAAATAACAGCTACTCAAACGTAAACAAGGATTATAGCTTTTATGGTAGTGAAAGCGATGAAGACAGTCTAAGGGAAAGTGTTGAACATATAAGGGGTATGTTCATTTATGTATTATTCACATCATTGTACGCTCTTATTCTCACTATAAACTCATGTATGCTCATATTACTGCTCGTATTCTTGCTATAAAATACAATTTTCAAAAAAAAATTTTTTCAGAGTCCTTGGAAGGAGAAGAAACAGAAATAACTCGAAATTTACCAGTTCACGAAGCCTTTTTTTTATGGAAATTATGTGGAAGTAGCATTGAAACTATTCTTATTAACCATGATATTATTAAAGCAAATCCACCTGTTATCGCTTTACCATAGTTCGTTTTGCCTTTTTAATTTACTAATGACATATCTTTATTATTATATTCATGTTTTTCACTCTTTTCAGTTTAGTTAATGGAGATTGCTTCATGTATGGTAATACTCATATAAGGAAGTATGAGTTCACTCCTGATATTTTTATCCTTCCGTCAAACAATTTTCGCAACGTAAGTCTCACAGAAGAACTTGAGAGAATGATCATGATGTTTTCATCACTAAGGATTAATTTTCTTCGTTGCTGTATGCAGAATTAATATTTTAGCGGATGAAGTTTCTTAACGAAAGCAAATTTCTCATTTCATTTGAAATGGAAGAAAAAACGCAAGAGATCTATGATTTATCGCTAATGGTGAAAGAAAAAGACATTGAATACCAGGTCTACATCCTCTCCATTATTTAATTTTTAATTAGCATTTTTTTTTTGGAAAAATTTTCATCATATCACAGATTTCACATTTCAGGGTCGACGGATGCTTATTCTTCGTCGTTTGCTTTCAAGCTTTCCCTTCAAAAAATCACTTCTATTTTGTGAATGTTGTCATGACATTCCTCCTCTTTATAGAGCTTATCTATGGAGTGCACTGCTGAATGTATACTGGGACGTTGAGAAACGTTTCATAGCTATTGATACGTTTTCTCCCCATTCTTCTGATCGCCAGTTACTGGTCGATATTCCTCGGTGTCACCAGGTTATATTTTCATGCGACAGTTACGCAAAGGCATTTTCACTGCAAGACTTTTTTCAAAAAAAAAAAAAAAAGGAAGACTTGTTTGTACTATCCATTCACTGTATGTGATTTAATTAATTTTCTAGGAAAATTTTCATGCATTTGTAAACAATATGGTTTATGTACCCCATATGTGAACAACAAAATTTTTTCTATTATAGTTACAAGAACTGTCACATGGCTTTGTAGTTTATCATTTATTTCTTTTAATTGTAATCCTGCTTGTAACTGTGGACGCAATTTCTCCGCCTAATCTTTCACATCCTCTTACACTGCTCCTGGCATCATCTGTTTATTAATTAGTATGGTGTCTCTTAAAAGGTAATAACTTTTTCAGTATGATGACTTGATGGCATCATCTATTGCGCATCGCAAGCTGAAACGTCTTTTGAAGACATGGCTTCTTTTACATGAAAATTATGTTTATTGGCAAGGTTTGGATTCTCTAGCGGCACCATTTCTTGTTCTCAACTTCAATTGTTTGGGTATCAGTTTTCATTTACAAATTGAGTTTGATAGTGGAGATACTTGTTAACAACAGTACGGTATTGACTGATTTTGTTTGGAATTTCTGCGTCTTATTTTGACCAAATAATGTTATGCGACTTTCAGCTAGTGCATATTCCTGTCTGGAATCGTTCATCAGCCTATATTTGCATGACTTTTTTCTGCGAGATAACTCATCTGTCGTACAAGGTTTGAATGAATATTTTTCATTAATAAAACTGAATTTTTTATGATTGTGATCGAGTTTATTTGTAGAATATCTGGCAGTTTTTTTTCATCTTTTGGCATTCATGGATGCTGCTTTATATACACATCTTTCCGCAATGGATTTCCGTCCTGAGTTATTTGCTATTCCATGGTTCCTCACCTGTTTCGCCCATATATTACCTTTGCACAAGTTGTTCTATGTAATGATCTTTTAATTACATTTGCAATAATCCTGAATTCTATATGCAGTGTTTTCCATAATAGACTGTAATGGACCTCAAGTTAAATGAATTTTGTATGTGAATAAATCTAATTTTGGTAGTTATGAGTCTAATAAAAATTTTATATAATGATAGACTAATTTTGCTTTATTTAAATTAGGTTTGGGACGTTTTATTATTATCGGATTCGTCTTTCCCATTATTTGTTGGACTTGCAATAATGGAGCAGTTACGAGCTGGACTTATTACCAAACATTTTAATGATGCAATTTTACTTTTTTCAGATCTTCCAGGTTTGTTTCATCCAAAGTTATTACAGTAATTGCTGTACCTTTAATTTTCATCCATTTTCATTACCAGATCTAAATATGGAACGTTTGGTGCAATATTCACTGAATTACTACAATGCTGTACCAGCATCATGCACCTTCAGACAATTTGCATCTAAGCATGTACGAGAAGAGTATGCAATGACGCATTATACTGTAGCTGAGCTGAACGAATTTTGTTGTCCACGGATATCAATTACCGATCTCATTCGTCTCACTGAACATTCCTCACTACTTGTTGTCGATGTTCGTCCGCAATATGAGTAAGTTTTTGATATATTTTTCCTTATAATTTTCCGAATCATCAGTATGTATGTGGTCCTAATACATTAGGTATATATTAATATATTCTGGAACTTTCAGGTATTCTCGTGGTGCCATTGTGGGCAGTGTGAATTTGCCTCCCTATGGTGAGGAGGATACGTTGGATACCATTAAAACAGCGTTAATAAATGCTCAGTCGGCAGAACATGTCGTCGTTATCGTTGATAATGAACATTTACAGAGAGCTAAAAAGGTTGCACATGTATTTTTATAATTTGGTTGTATTACCAGTCTTTCAAAATACATGTAATGCAAAAAAAAAAAAAAACTAAAGGTTACAGCATATATCTTTAATGGTTGACATATCATGTTTTAAATCATCCAAGCATTTCTTTTACTAACGGATCTATTATTCAACAACTACTGTTGGTATCACTGCAAAAACTCGTTACAAGATTTAAATAAAACTAATGAGTTGTTTATGCAGATATCAAAGTTATGCGTGCTGGAAGGATACAATCGTGTGTGTGTTTTGGATGGTGGTGTCCAGAAAGTCCGCTCCATGCACGATATCTTTTGCATGCCTGCTTGAGAATCGAATAAAATATGAAATCTTCGATATGGTTAAGAATAGTGATGATTAAAGTGACTTTTTGGAATGCGATATCTAAGGCATTACATGTGGTTAGGTCACCAGTGTTGCTGTTTTATTTAAAAACTTTTTGTGGTAATACAGCTGATAAATGGCAGTTTTCCATCTTTACCAGCAAACTCTGTATAGCAATATTTCTTGCATAAATTATTATATATTTTCAATTTGCGTTATCAGACTGCCTAGATGTACTAATTTTGCTTATTTCGTTGCGAAAAGTCAATGTCGACGAGAAAATGGGGGGGCGTGACTCGTCCATTATGTAGTGAAATGTGCTTAAGAAAGCGAATTCCTCAGAAATCTGACATTTTCTATATGTACTGCGATGTGAAGAATTATATGAGTTATATGTATGCTGAAACAGTATCAGCCGAAGGGGCTTCCAGTGAGTTCATAAACCAGTAAGTGATTAAGTTCAAATATACATGTCAAATATACATTGGTATCATTCAAGACGTCGGCTAAGCTGTCCCAAAATAAAGACGCAAAACCAACATTATAATATTCAACGTAAAGACCTCTAGCTAATTCTCACACTCAGAAAAATCAAATGAAAGTCAATATAATTGAAACTAAACAAAAGAAGTAGCAAAAAGGACAAAAACGAACTTTTACCAAACAAAATAAGCAAATATACCGAGAAATAATCTCATAAGGATAACCTGAGTACAAGTATATATATAATATATACATAAGTGACGTGGATGAACACAACAAACCGTTTCTTTGCAGCAGTCAAAGATTTCTCTGCACAAAACATTTCATCAGGATAAAAAAAAAAAACTGGGACGAGTCTGTTTAGGAGGAGTTGGAACGATCTCGTACCTGGGATCTATCAGTTAGCAGACAGTAAAGAATAATTTAGCAACGAAGCTAATAGGATGGCTATCAACTTGAAATTAAGTTACGATGCGAAAGATACCAGTCATTGCATTTGTTTTTATTGCACATATTCTCCTACCTTCGTAAGCTTCATTTTATTACCATTCATTCCGTTGATGTGTGAATTGTAATATATTATACTTTAGATTAACAATATCCACTCATTACTGACAAATTCCAATATAGAATTTTATTAACTGACTAAACTTATACTAAATTAGCTACATATCGAGAAACCAACAACCGAAGGTCATCATTTTCTTTAGATTAATAATCAGAACGTTCCGTTGTAATTAATAAATAAAGTTGTAGTTACTAAACAATCGAGAAGGCGGGTTGAGCACTCGAGAAGTGATCTAAATGGCATAAAATGACATAATTAAAAGGACTGATACTTATTCGAGAACTGGGAATTTACTAAGGATAGAATTGTTAGTTGCAAAACACAAAAATAGCAATAACATATGCATTTGAATGAAAAGGGAACAAGAAAAAGACACTTGAATTTTAACACTCTAACTACTTTTTAATCGACAGTCATTTTTAATCCTAGATTCTTAGCTATTATGAAATCAAAGCTATGAATCTTGCACGCACTCCACTTTTACCGGAAATATGACAAATTAGTTATCAGCACTGCTAAAAGTTTTTGGACAGTGTCCATTATTAGTTTTCAATGCAGTTTCTAATGCAGCAAATGATCTTGCTTGTTTCTTTGTTGATTCGTTGTCTAAAAAGAGTAGAAATAAATTTTTCACTCAGTCATAGAGTTTTACTTCAGTTTTTTTACGATGACTATCTGCTGCTTGTTAGGAGGTGTGAAAGAAATTTCAGATTATAAACAGTCGCTCGAAAGTTTAGTTACCTTATATTGTTTGCTGTGTACAAAACTTAACAAAACATCATCATTACTTCCAAGTTAGACATTAATCCATTCAAAATTGCAGTGTTTCTTCAGCGCTCACTCAGATCTAATTTTTTCTTCGTTAGGCATTTATCCCTATTATATTTTATGACTATCAATTAACCGTAGAATATTGCATAGCTTCTTGGAACATAATGATATACAAGTATGTGTGGCCCAATTTCCAACTGTGCTAGTAAGAGAGTTATTGCTGTTTTAAGATTGTTTGTGAACTCATGTGTTTATGTCTTAAAAAGCGAATAACGTGACAGGCTGCTCGAATTTGCTGTTGTCCAACATTCATTTGGTAATTCTGCTGTAGTACATTAGCAAAAGCAATGTTGTAAAAAGTGGAAAAATTTGATATTGACATTTGTCAAAAAAATGTTGGTGCCAAAGATTGATTTAAAAATGACTTGAACACCGTAAAAACTTTGTTATTTTTTTGGTAGAATTATTGTGTAAGGGCTGGGATTTTTGTCACTGGACAAATTTAATGCTATACACTGACCAATATAAGTTCTATTTCGCCTCGCTGACATCATCACATCACTCCATGCTTTCGAATAGCGCAACCGGAGAAATCAATATATTTTGTAAATAACATTTCAGTGAAAGCTACGAATGCATAGTAGGCATCAATGTAGTCTAAACAAAAAGTTAAATCATTTATACAGAAGAATCGATCTAATAACTGAGAAATCATGAGTTTTTTGTATGTTTATTCGGCTTATTCTGCAGCATCTATTAAAATTCCAGCAATATAAGGAATATAAATTTTCTTTTTTTAATCCACATTTTCATTACTCATGGAAAACATAAAATAAACATAATCAGTATATTTATCAGCTTCCAGCTAAAAGTTTCATTGTTTCATTTAAAAAAATCCATAAATTGTGGACTTTTTTTAATGCTTACTTCACTGACTTAAATTATTTTGGCAACAAATCCTTTAGTATATTGAAGCAGAAGTGGCACTTTGTTTTCTCTCTTTTACTTCTAGTGTTTCCGAAACAGATATTTCAAGCTAACACTTCCTAAAGGCAATAAAATTATCGCGTTAGCTGTACATTTCATGTTTATTGCTTCATGACGGCATTTTTTAAATATGAGTTGTAAGAAATAAATATTGTGAGGATTTTATAACAATAAATTATAGATTGTATCCCGTCCTTGGTTCAATACATCAATCCTTTAAGAATTATGGAACACAAATTCACTTTCAATTACTGATTGAAGAACTAAAAAGATGCTTTCTTAAAATTTTGAGGATATGTGTTTTGAACATATTTGGGTTATAAACTTCAGAAACGGATCAGTGGATTAACTCAAATTGACCTTGATACCTTATAGTGGAAAGGAAGGAAATTCCAAAATTCAAAATTATAATAAAACAATATTAATTCTGACTGGTTTGCTTATATTGATTTCCTAATTGCTTTTCAGATTTTTAGGAAACAGTCTACTTAGATAGAATATCAAAATCCACAGATGCAATTAACAAGCTTTCAGAAATGTGGAACAGTGAGAGATGAAAGTGAACTGAAAGAAAAATTCACCAGCGAAGTAATGTAATGTTTCAAAGAATGTCTCTTCATAGAAAACATTATGCAAGTTTTTCATGAATACAAAAATATTGCTTTCCTCTGCTTCATTTTTTGCTTCTTCTTGCTTTGAAAACTTGTACAATTCCATAATGGAAAAACCGGATATAATATGTCGAAATGAATTTGTACTGAATCCATAAGTCGTATTTTTAGATAAATGTTTTCAATCATCAAATCCGTTATGCAATAATCATCTGCATTGTCTGGAGTTTCACAGTTTGCTAACAAAGAATATGTGCATTACTTATTATCAAGATCTTCCAGCCTAAAAGCCAAACTCAGATTTGACTATTCTTTGCTTCAACCAACCTTCTTTGTTCTAAACCAAATTTACTTGCAATGTCTGAGAATTGTAATTCACTACTATGAGCAGCTGATTAGGAACAGCTGTTTACTCACAGTAATCATACAGTTCCTATTCTATGTTCAGTGACAACTTTTATCTTAATAAAATAAAGACTGGTCAACATTGCCTTCTCTGCAAAGCATTCCCTATTCGGCTCTACAGTCTACCTGAATCAGACCGTATTTTATGACAATAGATGTAGTAATCCAACAGAAAGCAACTTGTGGTATGTGAACTGTTTAAAAGACTGATTAACGAATATATCGGGCACATTCTTGCCACCTATAGTATACATCATCATTCACGCTTTTAGGTGTATTATATAAAACCGGGAGGGAACTAAACTGCTTAAATAAATATATAAAATCTTGTAGTTTGGCAAAAATGAATAAAACAAAAAAAGTAAGACCAGGAAATGTAAAGTGAGAGAAAGATAACGTGAATTGTTGCAGATAGAAAATTAGCTGAAATTAGGAAACCATTCGTTATGAAGAACTATAATTTTATTTCAATCACACCGGAAGTGTTATTTTTGATAGCATCAGTTTTTTTGTTTCGAATTGGTGCTTATATATAGTACATTTCATTTGAAATAAAATCATTACAGTACCGTTCAATTGACAAATGTCAAATAAAGTTTTAGCAGTATTTAAAACTCTTTCAGATGAAATTACCAACTGATCTGACCAGTCGAATATCCAGTGTTTTCATTAATCTATTGAATTCTGCCATTTCTGTTTTACTGTTTTTTTTTTTAGAAGTTTACACGTCAATATCATTTCATAACGCTGTTCATCTTCCCAATGGATTTCTTAATGATGAGAGACAAAAAAGAGAAATTATTTGTACAATAGAAAGTGCTTGTCGTATAATTTACTATTCATAATAATTTCCGCAGCATTTCATGCAATCATACCTCAATTGGTCAATGAAACAACTATAAAAAGTTAGGACAGAAATAAATTACTGCAACCAGTGACAATGAAAAAAGTAGTAGCTAACGCCCTGCTCCAGAAAATGTTGGCGTGTACTGACACTGGCTGTAATCCACGGGAGAGATCATGTTGAAAGCTTTTGTCATCACGTTTATATAATCTGGAAAGTATTTTGTTCATTAATTTTAACTTGATGAGATCTGAACCTAGAAAACATAGACCAGAAGTGATACAACTTTCATAGATCATCAAATTTTCAGTAACTATGTGACCAACTCAATTGTCTGTTCCTTAATTGTCTATCCGTCGTTTTAAAGCCATAATTTACTCATTTCAGAAATTGATGTGTTTTCATCATTTCTGAAGTTTGTTAAATCCCTATAATTGATCAACAATGTTCATTCAAAGCAAATGACTTACTATTATCTTCCAAAAATTGCAATACATTCTGCATGTGTTCGCTGCGAAATCTTTCTGGGTCTCTAGCAATCACAAATACAGGAAATCGGACCCAGTTCGATACAATCACATAATCATACTGGTTGTATTCGTTTAATGGTCCCTTTTTTATTATCCAAACTGCAGTGTGAAAACTTTTACTGGATTTTGATCCAACAAATATAATGGTGCTCTTGTCATGTTGTTTATGATATGAAAATACATAAAGTTTAAAAGGAGAACTTGAATTTTTGCGATCTTCTTTTGAAATTTTCTGTAATTAAAACTTTTGAAAATGTCTTGAAAACAAATTGGATTGTTACTAGATCCATGATACGGAGTTTAAGTTTCATTTAAAAATGTGAACAATGAAACAAGCTCGAATAATTCATCAGATAATGAAAAAATCAGGCTTGAATATGGGATTTAAAACCACATCTTGTTCTGACCTAAATCAGTTGACCTTCAATGTCCAAACATTCTGAATTTAAGGAAGAACTACAACCTTTATATAACAATACTATTGTGTAGGTGCACATTTTTCTTACTACATAAACTGATCAATTGATTACATGGTTCCGAATCCGGCGAATTGCTATTGTGCAGAACGAACTGCCCAGTATCACCTGATTTGAATCCGTAACCAAGTGAGAAACGTGGTGGGCCATTGGCATTCCCTTCACGATAAAACTTCAGGATTGTAAAGGTCGCGCTATATGTATTGTTCGTTAGCGCACCAACTATAAAAGATTAATTTTGAGTTTTAATAGAATTTTGAAACTATTTAGACTGATTTTTCTCGATGTAGTTTCGTATTTTCCTTTTTTTTTTTTTTTCTGTACGAATGAATTGGTAGACTATTTTTTTAGTTTTATTAATTTAACTGATACTAGAAGAATTTCACATCATGTTATGAAATTTATTTTAGGAAAGTAAAGAAAGCAAAATCTCGATAACCAAGGCTATTGTAATATTCTTATCGATAGGAATAAAAGTTATTTGTTGACAACTAAAACAAACAGAACATACAGTGCGACACTGTGCATGCTTCACGGATAACATGGGGACTGTTGATTACCTAAAATTTGAATTAGATGAAAATGCTGCTAACGAAAACTGTCTAACTGATCAAAAGTGGAAAACGCATACTTGGAACCAACGACCCGTCATGCGGGCGACATCGACATTCTCAGCAGCTGGATGAACAGCTCGAAAGACATCTTTTGCCAAATTTTTAGCGTAGCCTTTTGGTACTAATCGGCTGATCGATGAACCCAGAAGTGTATTTGTAGGTGGGATCATTTGTGGAAATAACTGGCTTATCTAAATAAAATATGGTTGCCTTCCAAGTGAAGATGGAAAATATTCTCTAATATTAACACTTGTAAAATAACACTTTCAATACAACTACAACTCTCTCAGCATATAGCCAAAGGCACCATGAAAAAAGTTAGTATGAGCATTCAGTTCAATTATAAATTATTTTTGAAATTAGGAAAAAAAAATTCTTAAAAATTTAGTTCATATTATTCTGAAATTTGAGTTGAAAAAAGGAAACAGACCAGATAGTTGAAATTGCTAAGACCAGGAATAGTGTTCACGCCTGGTATAGCTGGCACATCCTGCGGTCCAGGAAAAGCTGGTACTGGTATTGGAGCCAAACCAGGAATTTGTCCACTAGCAATACCTTGCAAATCGATACGGTTCTGATTTGCTTCAGCTATCACCGAATTTATGTCATCATTTTGAAAGGAGCTAGGTGCCACCAGTGGCTTGTATCTTCGACCATTGAAATCAGATGACAGCCCTAACTGATTCAAAATGCTGTCCGCTATTTCGCTTATTTTTGCTAGTGCAATTTTATCCTATAAAATACAATTTATGGAACTGGTATGATATCAATTTTTTAAGATTTAACTTTATAATTTTCTTGTAATTTCTCAACCTCGACATTATCTTTGCACTACCAGTTGCAAAAGTATGCAAAAGTATATCACATGAGAATTGAATGAAGTAGTCGCAGAGTTTTGAGATGACTATTTAGATCTAAGCAGTATGAAATAATTAAATGAGATGCTGGTAGTGTTGGCTGGAAGTTCCTGACTTTCCTCTCCAAAAAATTTTACGTGGCTTATGCTCTTGCATTTTAACTGCAAAATGATTTAATTAACCGATACTTAATTATATCAACTAAAAATATGAAGTCTGTTTTGATAAGCAGTATTATCACTACACCATTATTAAATTTAAAGAACAAACCTGTTTGGTAAGTACAATATTTTTGCCAAATGGCTGTGATGTAGAATTATTTTGTTTGCTATCTCGAAAAAATTTCAAGGATGGTCTTAGCAAGAATGAGTCTGCAGTATTAACTGAAGGAACTTGTTGTTGGAAATCATTGTGGATGAGCTGTGACTGGGACAAAGGTAAGCTAATCCAGAAAATGAAGCTAAAGATTAAAATAAAAATAGTATCGACTTTAGAGGAACGGCCTAAAGAAGAAGCAGTCATTTGGATCATCAATGTTTGAAATGTTTTGAACTAGGTCATTGGTACATAATCATCAGCAGTCTGTCTCTTCCTCTTTCTACATTGACACTATCACGCCCTCCAAAAGAGGGTTATTTTGGGGTCTATGTCCCTTTTCCCCTCTTCTTGCCTATTCCTGTCATTTTAAGAGCTCGGTATCCACATATTTCAGTGCTCTTTTTTTTCTATCATTTCATCATTTTCAAGGATTTACCAGTTCGCCACCATTTCAACACTTTATTTAGCCCAAAAGTACTGTCACTTTTCATACTCATCACGGTGACCTGAAAAATTTTTTTCTTGGATAACTTTTAATAAGAGATGTATATGTTTTACATATCTTTTTCAATACTTTGATAAATAGAATTTGAATTACAAATGACCCATATATTACTTCCCGCTCTACACATTTGCTGTTTCATGACTAATTAATGTCAGTTTTCTGCCTTCATTGAACGTAATTGAACAGAAACAGAATATTTGACCACTCTCAACTTATACTGTGACTTCAGTAAACGCGTGATTTCTTGGAAACGAGGAAAAAAATGAGTTGAACTTGGTCCTGAAGCGCTTTTTTCACAATTGATTGCAAGAAAATTAGTAGTCTGACGCAAGAAAGAATGCAGCATAGAGATGAACGCTTCTCCTTCAAGTATGGAATTGTAAAAAAAAGATAACAAACAATGAAAAATCACTTTCCTTTCAGAGACTTTCAATCCAGAACAACGGATGACAAACATTTCTTCTCTACAATTTTCATCTGAATTTAAAAGTTTTCCAAACTCACTGACATGGAAATTTAGTTACCACCTCTCATCACTTCATTTTGATGACTCACAAAGTCATTGTTTAGAGTTGTATAACAATTACCATGATCATAAAAATGGCTAAACTTTATTTGTATTATTTGAAGAATTAATGTTGTGTTCAGAAAACTTGTCCCAATTATTTATTATTCTTAAACTAGAGTGAATATAACAATCAGCGTAATGTAAAACATAGATTTATACGCAAAATCCAGAATTTGCACATCTTTTGCACCACCTTTGTTGAATAAGTGTATTACAGCATAAAATAAAGTGTGGAGATGTATGCCGAACTTTCAGTTCGAAGCACTATGTACAGTATTAATGCACATATTTTCGGCCTGGTAAATCTAACAACGTTCAGGAAAAATTTTTCGAAACCTTGGGAAAATGGCATTTTTTGCTATAAAATAAAAATTTTTTGTTACAAAGCCAAAAGTTTGAGGAAATAAAACGGAAAATATAATTTGAGCTGGCCTATATACTATTCATTTGTATTTTCGGTGTAAACAAAGGAAACCAGGTGTTTGGAAAGAACTACTGATGACAGAAAATAAATACCCGGCAGAAAATTTGAATTTAATAGATTACATTAATAATTTTGGAAATGCTATCTGTCATCGTAGGTACAGCAGTGCAAAACAAAAAAAAAAAAAAAAAGATTATTAATGTAATCAGTGTGAAGCGCAAAATGAATTTTAAATTTAACTTGATTAGAAAGAGACCGAATATGACAAGCAACCCTTCATTGTTACTTTTGATTTTAACTACAAAACCAGTAGCACTCTCAACTAGTAGTTTTCAGGTATGCTAATCTCCACCACTAAGCAAAAGAGGACTGAAGAAATAACGAAAACGAAATTAGGTAATTTATTGCAGCAGAATTCATTAACAAATTTCCTGATACACTATGCCATTTAAGATTACAGTGTTGAAAAGGTATTATGCATGAACGTTGAACAGACTCGGTGGAAATGTGCACACCGAATTATCTACGGGTGCAACAATGTTCAACAAGCGGGAAAATCCATTAATTAATCCTTTCTGTTCAAGGATTTGATTTACAGTCGTTTCATAACGCTATAATAATAGAAAAATGATTAAAATTCCGGAATTCTAAAAATGAGAATAGTCCTATTTAATGAATTTATAAAACGATGACAAAACTTCACTACATGACCTTATTCAAAACCAGAAATGTTGCAGTTTATTTTGATCTAGCTTTTTAATTATCTTCTTTTTTTTTGTTTTTTTGACATGCAACACATTCACAGAAGTTCACTCATCAATTAATTCACTGCAAAAAAAAAAAAAAAAAAAAAAAAAAAAAACAATTTTAATTTGAACATCTGTGAAATCATGTTCTACTTTGTTTGACTACTAGTATTCTACAGCAGCATACACTTTTAAAGATATCATTTAGCAACAATTTAACTATAAAATAGTAACCTGCTTGTAAACGACAGGATCGCGTGCAAATACATACAATGGATAATTGCAATTCGTTGAAAGTATTGTGAAGCTGTATTGTCCGGCTTCATTTAACGGACCCGCGTGAATTATATGAACTAAAATTTTCATGCAATAAAAGAAATTGAGTTGTTTAATTTGTCAGGGAAAATCAAATGAATTTCCAAAGGAGCTATTTCCATGATTACAATGTTCCTTTTAAATGTAAATACTTACCGCTGACATCATCTTGATAACTAGTTGTACGATAAATTAATTCTCCAGCTTGTTTAACAATAGCATAGCCAGAACTGATACGTGGTTTAACGTATGGTGTACCATCGGTTGTATATTCAAACACTTCAAATATAGTACCAACCCCGCCATCGTTCACATCTGCTAACTTCTTATAAGCAACCATACTGCACGGTGCTGTTGCCAATGGTGGACTATACATGACCTGAAAATGTCAAAAAATTTTTCAAAGTTTGAGTTCAGCTTTAAATATCTCAATTAAGAAGAATTTGCACATGTTTAAACAAAGATCAGTATTCTTTTTCGTCTCAAACTTGTTCAAAACAGCTACTAATTCAAGCTAAAGTAGGAGATGCCAACACCCTCTCAAAATTTTTACCACTCCCTGTCAAAACTTCAATTCTAACTAACCTGATACCACTGGCCCATGAATGCATCAACATCAAATTCTTCAATAGGAACTGGTTTTGGATTACAAAGTGGAGACGATGGTTGAGTTATTAGATTTTGAATCATTTCCAAATTTTCACCGATCACAGCCTGCTGTGCAGAGGTAAGCGTCAGTGACTTAGCATCAGGATTTTCATTACTTCCATTTGCCTAGAATTTTTCATGCACAACGTAAATCCATGAATAAATTGTCTCAAACCATCGATGAAAAATAATTTCAATCAATTGCATTTAAAAAGTAAGCACTGCCATATTGTTATCTTTCAAAACTTGAGATCTGAAATTTTTGATTTCTTCTTGCGTAGTTGTTGACTACAAATTCGAAATATGCTTGTATAAAATTAATGCAAAAATGTTTTTTAATGATACCGAATTTAGCTAACCCAGACTTATTATTTCAAATATTAAGGCTTAGAACAAATTACCAACAATTTGAAGTTTCTGACACATGGTATTTTCAAGCAAAAATCACAGAATCAAAAATAATCACTTGAATTGTTCCACTAGTGAGTGCTTTGTAGAGAACATCGGCGATCACGTTTTTGGCTGGAATTGGGCTATTCTCACCCCCAATCAAATTACCAACCGCTTTCGTTAAACTTCGTGTGTCAGGTTCAAGCTTACTTTTTTTGCTGTTCAAACCGATTAAACTAATTATTGTACCAATTAGGCCACCCGATGATGAAGAATCGTCCGTTAATGCACCATACTTAAACAAGGCTTGTAAGTTGAAAAATTCTATCAGTAGAAATAAATTCATTAACTTTCAATAATTTTGAGGCCTGAATTTTTGCAAAAAATTTCCAAACGACTAGAATAATTTCTGTACAAACTTCTTCATTTTCGATGCCTTCATCATTACTCTCTTTGTTTGAGAGTGCAGCACGACGGATTTCAATCTCGTTAGGTCCAAAACCTCCATCAGGAATCTCGGGTTGTGAATCAATCTTTGGTATTGCTGCCATCTAATGCAATCATCATTTATTGAGTTATCTGATTTCAAATTCGTTTTGTTTTTTTCTAATTTAATTCATTTTTTACACATCAACATTTAGCTTACTCTCATCTGTTTCTTTTTCTTAGTTAATTTTGCTTTTAGAATAAAAAAAAAAAAATATTGTCATAAGCGCAACTGCACAAGTACCTGTTCTGTAGTTATCTGTCGTAAAGGAGGACGCATTAGCTCAACAGGTGGTCTGGCTAAATCAGGAAAAACGTTGGGTATACCACGAATAGATGAATGCGCATTATCACCTGATCCCTCAATTTCATCCTCTATTATCCCTTTCGGTTGCATTACCTGCGATTGCGTCAGTTGCATCATTTGAACATAATGTGAAAAAATCGGAAATCTAAGGTAACTAAATTCTACAGAAGCTAACATATGAAACCATGAAAGTATTATGAATTGAATGTGGAAAAAAAAAGTATGAAATTTTGACGTACTGGGCGTTTGCGGACATTTGAAAATGATGCAATAGGGTTACCACTGTTAGCAACCGAGAAGCCTTGACTGAAACCGGGTGGTAGTTGTTGGGAAAATCCTGATGGTGCACTGAGAAACTGTTCCAGGGAACGTTCAACTTCATTCAATGGAGCGTTATTATTCTCTGAGTTGTCTCGTGCTGGACGACCTATTTCATAACTTTTTGGTGGGAAAAAGCCACCCGGTCTTGGACCAATAACACTTTCGACAAGGCCACGTGCATGATCTTCTAACTCGAAATATTTCTTATATTCGGGTGGTACAGTTGGTTTTGCTGCATAACGCGGAGCTTGCGGTAGAGCAAATACATCGAGCTGGGCAGCATTCAGTGGCATCACATGGATCGTCAAAATTAATAAGAAAAGTGTCACTTTCATATTACTTCCCATGTATTTACTGATGATGCTTTCTGTAAATCCATCAACTCTAAAGGTGTGTCATCTGTCCCATCAATCTAAACTGTACAAAATTTCTCATATCGATTCTCAAAATTTTAATTTTAGGAACTGATATGACTGCCGTTTATATATTCGAATTCAAAAGAAACGACTATTTCAATTTGATCAGAGTTCGAAACACCAACAATATTATACCGCTTCCTAAAGCTGCACAAATGGATATAATAAGTTAATCGCAAGCAGTTTAACCCTTGATTAAAGGAAATGTTTAATGTCTCTTTGTGAAAGTAGTTGTGTTCACTAAATTAGAGCTGATCCTGACGATATGTTGGAAACTAAGAAAGACAGCGTAAGCTATTACTGAGAACTACATCGTCGCAAATCTTTTTGAAATTTTTTGATCTAAAAGTGGTAAGTGACCCAGAGAGGAAACAAAATCGAAATGCCGGAAGAATGGAGGGACCCAGCAAGTGACCTCCAATCGGAAAATAAATGGAAAGAAGGAAACGCTGGATGGTAGCTGTAGTTGCCGCATATTTGTGCATCAGTTCAAACTAGCGCATTAGGCCATTGCCCCTCGGTGACACCTTTATTGAACACGGATAATACATTGCCATTATAAGTTCAGTCGTAATCCACATAACAGAGAAATACAGAAGACAGACAAACAGACGAACGGACTAACGGACACGCCCACACACAAAAAGACCGATAGCATGTGGGCCGATCTAATAGATATGTGCCAAACAGCTAGAAAGATACGCCAAAGGCCGAAATATGCCAGAGGTGAACGGCGCAAGAATGCTTGCTTAGTGGTTCAGCTGTGATAGCAATTTGTATGTGTGTGGGCGTGTGTGTGTGTCAACATTAAAAGGGTCAGTGCCCTTGCATTAGTTTCTGTAGTGCCAGTTGCGGATTCTGAAGTGCTTCCCTTATTGGGCTACGGCCATCTGCTCCAAGCGAGGAACCGAATAATCCGGATTTAGTCACTGTTTCCAACTCGGTGTTTTTTGCTGTTTTCTGATTTTTCAAGACCCTATAAAACAATTGATCTTTGAACTTAATTTTCAAAAAAAAACTGTACTTCTTTGGCGCAAATTTCGTAACAGTGGAAATGATCCTGCTAAAAACTAGCTGCAATTTCATAAATTGGAAGTAATTTTATGGATAGAATTATTTGCATGTATTTTTTAAAAATATTAAAAATAGGTTAAAGAAATAAAATTCATTTTAAACTAAGACTTATTGTGTTTGTGGTATATTTCATTATTTTAATTTATTAATAATATCACAAAATAGTTATTGTTTTTAGATGAATAGTTTCTCCGTTTCAGTAAAGTAAACAATACATTAAACATAAAAATCCATCACCGAAATTAAAGTGCTTAAGTATGCCTTACACTGAAACTGTATTAGCAAGCTGCTAGTGGAAATGGGCATCTTTCTAGACCGTTACTTACTGAACTCTATTTTGAAAAGCGTCGACTTCAAATTTGTACTAGCAATTAAAATCTATGTTGCGGAATTTTTGTGAATGTACCAGAGGATTAGATGGAACAGTAGAGAGTCAGGAAGGAGTGAAAATGTAAAAAAAGAGCTCTTGGTTGCTTTTGTCCTGCAACTTTTTCTATTTCCTGAATCACTCAAGTAGAAAGGAAAGTTCATAAGTCATAAATTAAATAATACTGTGGATTCGAAAAACGATAAAAGTTTGACCTCCATTGCTTTTTACCAATTATTTCATGAGATAGAGATTTAAACATCAGATAAGAAATTGACGTTTCTTTTTTGTTAGCTCACTGATAAAAATTTACAAATGCAATAAAATTCCTGGTTATATTTAAGTGAATTTCAGAATTGTAATTAAGAGTTTGCAAATAGTTATTCTTTAAAAATGTATCATTTTAATCGCTGAGACGTACCGTCGTGCAAACACTTCTTTCTCCGATGGCCACTCACAATCGGCACCTTGATAAATAGGTCTCGGGGAATTCCAAAAAACTTTCCCACCGAATCCAGCATTCTCAAGAAATTTCACGACTTCTTCGTTATATTTCTGGAATTACAAGATTATTTCATCCAGATTTAAAGATTCAATTTATACAAAATGATAAAGCAAGAATGAATAAGTAATCAGGTTACTTGGTAAAACATCATTGGATGGCGAGCATATACACCTAACGATAGCCTGTTTGCATCAGTTATAACCATATATTGATATACTTTTTCCTTTTCTTCTACAACTGATGTATTCGTATAATTTGGCCCGACGCTAATTATATTAACTGAAATTCTCAGCAAGCTTTAATAACATTATTTCAGTAATGGAATATCGATGTCTGATTGTGTAATATTATATGATATTATGCTTCTTTATATGAATGCTTCTTAATTTTAATTTAGATATAAAGGTTATGCACATTGTCGAGGATAAAAATATTCCTCAGTGTACATCCAGTACTGCCCAGCACCAACTTTATTCAGATCTCTTTTGTATGTCTCAATTGGACCATTTTTTGTTATTACTCGATAAGCTTCTTCGATCGAAAACCCGTCCTCACCCATTACCGAATTCGGCTTGACTGCAAGTTTAAATATTATTCAACTACTAAATCTAAATAACAAATAGCACTTAGTGAGCACAAAACTCTATCTTATATTTGATTGAAAAAATAACTGAAATTAATTGAAAAATTTATTTAAAGTATAGCAAAACGCAAGAGTCTTATTTAAAAAGTTTCACTATGCTGCATATGGCTAAGATCGAAGTGCTGGAAAACAGAATGTTGTAGAGATGTCTGTTATCATATCGCCATTAAATTAATAAATCCAAAAAACTCACAATATGCAACTGGACAAAACATGTCCGTTCTGTGCACATCGAAACTTATCGCTGCTTTATACACCTGTAATATAGATATCCCTGAAAACTAAACGAATAAGATAATAGCTACATTACACACGGAAATTTAAAGCGGTTTTGAATTTAAAATAATACGTCAATGTTTAATATTGTTAATGATAGTTAATACAGTTAATGAACAATTACAATAGCATAACAATATTTCCGCAAAAATTTTTTCATACACACAAACATGCGTACACATACACGCACAAACACACACACGAAATCTAATTAATAAATAATTATTCTTGACTTTTGAAATTAAATTGTTGTAACTGGAAAGGCATGACATCAAAAACAAACATAGAGACATTACTTTTTTGATGCAAATATAAAGATGACAACCTGATACCATCGACCCATAATTTGTGAAGATGGCACATCAATAGTTTCAACATTATTTTGCATCATATTGCTGATACCACCAATGATGCTAGCTAAGGCATTAATATCCATCTAAAGAGCTTAATTTATTTCGGAATTGGTAATGTAAGGATGAAAGGTCTTCACTTCCCTTGATATCTAGTCAAGTTTGCTTTTACAGGTTAACAATGCAGTGATCTTGATAGTTTGTTATTAGAATGTAAAAAATAGACAAAAATTTAAGTGCATTAATAAAGTGTTGATTTTAAAAGAAAAATAGATAATAATTAGTTATCACTGATGATACGACGTATGAAAAACTTAAGTTATGAACAGTAATCTATTCCATTTAAATATGTCAACAAATTGTTATATATTTTGAACTGTTTTGCTAGTGGTGACTCAATGACAGTTTTCCAAAAGGGACAGATCTTCAAATGACCACTTCAAAAGTGGTTAAAAAATATATATTTCCAAGAATTATTCAGCAAATTCTCAAGTCATTTAATTTTGGAAAACTGTAAATCGACTTACCGGATTTTCACCGATGGCTTCAACATAGCTTATCATAAGAATAGGTAACGAGAATAGCAATAATATCATTGTATCGAAGGAAGTCGAATGTGGGTTGTTGCACAGTGAATTGAGCACTAATGTTGTGTGGAGCTGCCCAATAGGATGAGGTTGTTGACCTACGAATTAAACTTCAATCTGTTCACTGATCTTGAAATTTATGATGTTGAATATAGGTTACTATTACTTCCATCATTCCTTTTTACAAGAACCACTTCTTGTTTTCTTATGGGATACTATACACAAACTATGTATAAATGCTCGGTACCATTATACTTCAACTCCTGTTTTTAAAGGAATAAAGAAATACATTAAGACTACCGCATTTTATGTCTATATTACATTTGTTAAAATTTTCTTCCTTTTGTAGGTAAGAGATATATTATCTAATGCAATCAATTTACCTTTATTATTATATCTCGTTAATAAATACCAATATTTTTTTTTTTAATATAGAAAGAAGTTACTTTCACATGCCAATGAAATCAGTGATAAGCGTTCTTCCATATCACCTATAAAGTGAATCGACTTAGTAGCTATTATTTTTTACGAATTAACAATTCCTGAATATAAGTAAAATTTTCAGAGAAACCTTCAAAACATGGGAAGATGTGATCGTTACAGAGAGAATCGTTTTCAAACTTGAATTTTATCCTTATGATGCAATTAAAGTATGAGAGCAAAAATTATCCTTGATCATTCATATCTCTTTTCAGTGACATTAGACTACCGACACAATAATTTAAAGTAATAGAGTCAAACCATATTTTTCCTTTTTAGGAACTTGGAATTATCTCACAAATCTAATTTTCTCAGTGGCATAAAGAACGATGAGTTTGAATAACTGTATCAGTTTTCATTTAATATAATCAGTTAGATGTGTTTTACAATTTTTCGAGATGGCTTTCTAGCACCTTTACAATTTCAAATAACAAGAAGTTGCACTGCATGTAGGAGACATGGAAGTAGGATCTTTTCTTGTGTTAACAGCAACAGTTCAGCATTTGAGAAGTAAGTTCAGTGTAGGTGCTCTAAATGCATCAAAATAAATTTTAAAATATTTTAATAGACAGTGAAAATCACATCACAGAACTTTCAGCAAGAAAAAAGATTGTCCATAATTCAATGAAAACAAATTAAAAACATATTACATCAGTGACTCATTGATATATATGTTTCACATTAATTACAGCTTGATAATCAAACAAAAATTTCAGCTAACGATTCAAAAATTTTAGCAAGTTCTCAACCACGTAAGTAATACCCAGTAGATAGTTGCATTATTTAACACGGTTTTTGCATGTCAAAAAAGTGAAAAAAATACAGGCCGAAGTCAAATACAACTGTGCTTTAACAAATAAACATTTACTGGACACTCGTAACTTGCCTAGTAAGAGTATTTTGGGGCGTATAATTTAGCTGTATCTGAACATCTTGGAACCATATCGAAAATAATGCTAAATCCTTGCTTGTTATTTTTTAAAATTTTGATTCTTATTATGATTGAAAGTGATGGCATTACTAGTTTATGTTTTTCTTAACCAAAAGAACTGAGTTTGATTTTATCACCAAAACAAATTTTGGTTAAAATTTCAAATTGCTTGCACGATGTGGTTGGAAGAATTATAGTAAATTTGTGAATGATGTAAGCAAAATCCAGAAAAAAAAAAAAACAAGAAGTGCCGATTTTTTTTTGATTTCTCAAATAAAGTTTTGCTCACTTTTCGACGTTTCGAAAGATAGATCAAAAAATATTAAAAAAAGTAAGTAAACCAAATAAAGCCAGTAGAAAATAAACTCGTCTTAATAAGTAATAAAGTTCAAGTTAAACGTTTACTAGGTCCAAATACTTCGAAAGTACTGTCGGCATACTGACAAGAGCTATAGCTAGCTGGTTGTAGCATATTAAAAGCTCTAATAAAACCATTAATAAAACCTTGATCTTCCAACCACCGCAGCACTTCTTGTTCGTATTTAGCTTTAAATTTATCCGGATCTCGAACTAACACTGTTACTGGATATTTCACCCAATTTGACACGACTGCCCATTCATACTGTGGATTGCCAAATGGATCCGTTCCTTCTGGACCCAACTTGTAAATCCAAACTGCAAATATTCGTAATAGAACTTTTGCTACCTTCGTCAATTCATAAAAAGGTACTATTTGAAAGATGATCACAGAAAAAAAACTTTGGAGAACCATGATTACCAAAATTAAAATGTGGCCCCAAATTTTTAGAATAAGCTGTTGTTTTTGAACCAGCATGACAAATTTCACCCCTGCTCTCAGTCGATCGACCTTATGTTCTCCAAAATCAGCTACGTCTTAGCCCCATTCCAGGTGAACAAAGAATTAGGTAATCTGAGAATGCAACAGAAAAATGAGATGAGTTGGATTAGGACATAACTTGACATTAAGATGATAATAAAATAAAAAAAATGATCAGACTAACATGGTTGTGCATCAGGAGTTTCTGAACTATGTAACTGCAGCATGGCATCTTTATTACCTCCTCGAAAGGCATAACCGATTGAATAACGCACGGGACCGAATTCACTCCCCTCACGGTAAATTTTCAATGCGGTGAAAGTAGCAGTCTTATCGTTCTTTGTTAAACCACCATCTATATCAAAATGATTATATTTTAATCAGATCAGTTTAGCTTAAGGACTACTTATTATGGCACTAATTATCTTCAACGTGATTTTTTGTGTTTTGGTTATTAATCAAAGCAGTAAAAATAAACTGTTATTAAATTTTTGCTTTTTGTGGCTTCATACCACTAAATAGACCGCATATAGAAAAAAACCTCAAGATTACTGATTGAAATATATTCACGCTTTATCCAAAATCATTTCAAGTAATCAGATGATTTCATTGTTAACAGCAAAAAAAAAAGAATGGAAGAAGGATAAACAAACAGTGATGTACAACACAACGTTGTTCAGTAGCACGTGGACTGTTGATACCTTCAAACCATCTTCCCATAAATTTGTGCAAGTCGAAATCTTCAGGTGTTGGTGGTAAAAGTGCATCAGTGACGTTATCGGCAAGAGTCTGCAACTGCTCCGGTGGTATCACATCAGCCAGTGTTGTACCATTCGAAATGCGACGTGTTATTGAACCTACATTTAAATATCATGCGTGTAGTATGTGGAAAATATTGTCCATGTTGCAACATAGGAGCTCTCATAAATTGTTACGTGAAACCGAAAACAGACCGATAAGCTGGACAACATCTATTTGACCCTGTTCATTACGAGGTATGCCACCCGGTAACAGTGGGAAGCCAGGTATTCGTGGCAGTCCCGCGTGAGCTGGTCCACGTGCACTACCAGCACCAAGCGCTGCCGCTACTCCAGAAAGTACTCGCTGCGCAGCATTCTGTTGCCGACGAATTCCGGAACGAGAGGTACTCTGTGCTATAGCTTCAGCTTCAGCATCCGTTGAGTATGAAACAGCTGTATCAGCAGAACCACTTGTTCCCAATACACTAGGAATGCCTTGTGACAGGGCATCAGCCACACCAGCTATAATGGAACTTTTAGTTTTAATGACTTGTCAAAAACTAGGTCACATTCAAGAGCCTGAAAACAGAAATCCAAAATGAGAACTTCTAACGAAAATATGCCAATAAAGTAAAAAAAAAATAATTTACTGTCAAAATAAAAGGGTTTTGTATTCAAAAGTCTTCAAACCAATAATTTGCAAAATAACTTACTGTCTTGAACCAGCTTCCTTATTGAACTTGATAGCAAGCCAATAAGGCCATTCTCCCCAGGAGTAGCATCAGGTAAGGGGATACTACCTGTTCCGTGATAATGCGTGGGGCCTGTTGCTTCGTTGTACAACTGGTTCAGCTGATTTCCAAATGCTGGATTTGCTTGTGATAATACATCTGTAAATTAAGTTGATTTGTATACATATTACAATTAGCTTTATAAGTTTCACTGAATATATACAAACCATTCGGTGAAGTTGAAGGTGATAGATTTCCGGAAATATGCTCCAGTGGCAAACCTTGTACAGGTATTCCTGCAGCTCTCAATTCCTAAAACTTTAAGTTGAAGTATTTTTGGCAATTATTCCTAATGCTAAAACTTATATCTTTCCTTTATATAGGATTAAGGAACCTGGATAGCGCCTGCGAAACCATCCGGATGATTACCAGTCAAACCAGGTATGCCGAAACTGTCGAGACCGAAAAATTTGATGAGTTGGTTTTGTACATCTGGTGGTATATTTATCGGAGGTGGTGGTGGTGGTGTCGTTATGGGACGCGGTACAAATTGTTGCTCCGTAACTGGTGACTAAATATTTCATTTCATGATTTTTCTTATTTCAGAAGCGGATTACAGTTTTAGATGTTTTACTATGATTTTACAAAATTTATATTAAATTGTCGAATATAAAAGAACTGAGAAATTTGAATGCAAGGAAATTTCAGACATTATACCGTTTATTATAATACCAGTCATGTACGTTCATTCAAAATAAAGTTGAGACCCCGTTGTCCTTCTTTTTATTTTAAACTGTTGAAATCGGACAATTTATGAGATGGGTTCATCTGACGGTTTTTTTTTTAAATTGGAAGTAACAATGTTATAGAAGCAGTGGGGCAGTACAGACTGCTTGAAGTTTCTTACGCCCTTCTATTGTTCCTGCTGAAAAGTTTCATGAGTCCACTTATAATATGTTTTCACGGCAGTGTTCAGAAATGTTTACTTTTTCCAACCTCATTTCCTGTTATAACTCAGTTATTGTGAGACTTCATATCATAAGTAGGAGGCGTATGAACGGAGATACGACAACTCATAATGCAAAACAGAAATCCAGATAATCAGCAAAACCTTAAGCTTCAAAAGCACTTGCAGAATTTTGTCGCAGCAAAAAATATAAAATACTTAAAATATTTCGCATATAAACTTGCCGGTGGTATAACAGGAAGTTGCGCGGCGGGGGTCAATAAAGGACGATTTCCTATATGCGCCTTTTGAAGACGATTAGCCGATGCAGTTTGTGTTGATGATGACTGTATAGCACGTGGTGGTACTATTTCCTTCATGAAATTTGGTTTTCGATTATGTGGAGGTAGTCTAATTGTTATCGGTTGTTCACTGATATCTGCATGTGTTATACCAACAGCAATTAGCAGTACACCAACTATCCTCATAATCATTGTGTCCTTCGTCTAAAAAGAAGCTAATGTAAAACAGTGGAGCTACAAATTTGCAGTTTTGCGAAGTTAATAACATGAAAATGATAACAAAGCAGGCACTTGAATTTCCAAAGTGACTTTCATTTCCTGTAGTAAATAATTATTCAACATATTCATTATGATACGGTGGAAACAGTAAAAATGGCCTAATAACGCTCTCCTAAATCTTGAATTTATTACCGAACAGACTTTTTTTGCTAACTAGTTTAAATTAAATCAGTTAAGTCTGTCCAAATCTGTTCAAATTTTAAGTTTAAAAGGAATTGAAACATATCTGGACTAATATAACTTCTTTGTAATCAAATTTGGTACCAACGAATAACAGAAGTAAATTACATAGCAAATTAGATGAATTTGAGTATGAAATTAATAATACTGGGCAATTAGCAGCAATAACGGTGGTAAATTTGGATTAAAATATTTTCATTCAACATTTTGAAATTTGAATATCAAAACTGGGGCGTTAAAACGAAATCTCTATAGTGAAAGAGTGAGCTGGATCAGCACTACGATGTGTATTGGATGAATGTGTTCTGTATGTTACGGGTGTATATGGATACGATCCGGTAATCATTATGATGGCTCACTGCTTACGGGGAATAAAAGTTATCTTTTAAAAAAACAGCGACTGTAAAATTCTTCCAGTTATTCACAGAAATTGATAGTATGATAGGACTTTCTTCAAAGTGTCGTCAGTGTAACACATGAAGTAATCAAAATTTCCAACGGACAGTTGTAAAAAAAATAAATAGCAGGTTAATGTAAGAATTTCTTTTATTTTAGTGACGCCACAACTCACTAAATCATACATAACAAAAAGTGAAATCAAAACTATCCACATTTAATATGTTCTAATAGTAACAACTACTGTTTCATACATTAATATGACCGTCCCGTACTGCAAGTTAGTAAAACATCAGCGTAGTTGATTAATTGAATAATCTTTTTAATAGACAAAATGAAAATGATGGCGCGATGATGGTTGAAATATTGTCACTTCACTTGAAAGCTTATTATGAAATTACTCCAGCAATTACCAGTTTATCAACTTCGGCGTTATACAGCATACCAAACACATAAAATGAACAAAGTTGTGGGATACAAAAATTAAGAGAGTAACATTTGGAACCATGCTGTGCGCTTCACTGCAATTGTGAAAAAGTAGGAGCAGCTGTCGGTGGTTGTATATGAATTTCTAAAAGGCAGAAACTTAATTAGGTCAAGGGCAATGGGAAGAATACCAACTAGAGCATGACAATGACACTTGTCATTTTGCGTGCGGGAATAATGGTTCGCATTGACATGACCCAAATGGAAACTACCAAACACAATACTTGCCCTTGCACATCGGTAGAAATCTTTCATATATTCGTACAAAGACGACAAATTATATTGGTAGGCGTCTCGACTCACGTTCTACAGTTATGCCTTGGTAAACCTAACTTAATTACACTCACAATTGCAGTGAAGCCACCTACCTTACTCGGGGATTCCACTCCTGAAAGTGCCATTATCTCTGTCCTTTGACTAAACTGGCATTACTAGAAATCACCAGAACACACTACCAACCATAAGGTAACCCCATCCACAGCCCACCGTCCGTCCACTCGATAAAGCTATCGAGATTAAGGTAGTCGAATAAGAAATTTTTCTGGAATATGCAAAACGAACAATAATAGTTTATCCGCTTTCATTCGTGATAACAATTCTAAGAGACAAATAAAAATTTATTAACAAATTCAGGATGTGCGTATGGAGACGAATTGTGATGAAACGTCCCGAGTTTGCTTATGTACGCAATAAAACATAAATAACACGACAAACAGAAACGGAGGAACAAGAAAATAGTTTGAAAACAAAGCAGGAAATTCATACACTAAATCAGACAGTTCACTGCTAAAAACGATTCTTCTCTAGCTGAGAGGATTTGCAATACCATGCACAGCTTTGTGTCCAACACAGAATATAAGTCTAACTCATTGGGTTGTGCATTCACATGGATGTTATTTTACACGCAGTGAAATGGACACTTACAAAGCTTACTGGTTAAAAAAAATTCTCTCAAATAATAAACCACATTAGTATAAAATAATGAAAACAGAACAAAAGAGAAAAATAACAGACAGTACAAAATAGGAAAAGCTTAGACCAAATCGGATGAAGCTTGGCACTACTAATGAGAGAAACCTCCCGTGACTGAAGGATTACGAAGCCCGGAAAAACGGGATGACGATTATGATACAACATTGGTTTAAACACACAAATATGTGTCCACTGATACCACCTTACACAAATTTACAACTATTTCACTCCAGTAATATAACACTGTTGCAAAAGATAGATAGAGCTTAGATGCAAAGAGGACATCAGATAGCAATTAGCATCACAGATGCAAAAGAAAACTAAAACCTTACTTAAGAATTAAGAAGCAAGAGCAACAGCATGATAAACTGAATGTTTTTCCTCATAATTAATAAATAAAATCACCGCAACTAAATGTACTGTTGAATGTTACTAGTTTTCACGAAATTTAATAATTTGCAACTTCGTATTTCTCCAGAAAATAATAGTAATATTAAGCACCATGCCTCGTTATTGTTCACAAGAAATAATAGTTCAGACATGCCGCAAGGCAGCGTAACTACATCATTAAAAATTAGCAACGAAAGCATCAGTTATGAATAACGATCGCTTTTTCAGTTGTGTGTGAACCACGTGTACCGCGACTTTTGTTCATATGATCCAATCCAAGCCAAGGTGCGGATGCGTAACCTGTAAAAGAAATGCTCCTTTAGTTCAGGCTATGGCACTTGAAGTTAATATATTTCTACTACATTTACTCTGAAACATTACCGACTCGACATCAGATAGAAAAAGTATTGCGATATCTAAAAGAAAAATTATGAACAAAATAAGGAAACCTGTAATATGTGTATGAGAAAGTTCATTGAGATTAACCACGTTGTCCTTGTCCAAATATTTACTCACTCGATTGTTGACAATTATTGCAAACTTGTACTGCAATAAAACTTAATTTCCGAAATAATAATTTAAACATGAACTAAAATCCAATCCACAGATTTCAATTTTCAAAAATTATTCTTTCCAAACCTTTTCAAATTCCTTAACAGTGACGTCCAGCTTCTTTCTAATTCGCTCGCTCACACTTTCGAGTGTTTCTCCATTTGTAACTTTAATGAAAAAAGGGATGCCGAACATACGTGTCGGATCCTAGAAAGGTTTTTATAAAATAATCCGTCAAGAAATATTCTAGTAAATATTGTATAAAAACTACATCGCATACACTATAACAGTAGGGAAAATTTGAACTTACTTTATCGAAATGACCAACAGGTAAGAGATGTTCGCCAGGCCTAACAGTAACTTCATCTTCCGGTATCTCTTCAACCCGCACCTGAAACAGATTTGGAATTTCTTTTTCAAGAAAAACATGTCAGATCATTCAAACAGATATTTTAGAAATCAAGAAAAGAAAACGCTAGGTTAATTTCCGCTTAATTAATGATACTTCGAACAAAAGTTACTAAAAGAGTTCAATTGTTTTAGCATAATAACATCTCGCAAAACTCAAATACTAAAGCCTTAAAAATTTACATTCCATATTATATATTATTAATATGTTCCATATTATAGTATATAATAAAGGCACAACCACAGAAGTCGAAATACTTGCAAATTCATACTGAATGAGATGGCAAACTGACTGCGTAAGATGTATTGCCAATCTTCGTATAAATTTCACTGGCAAGTGTGTCATTAGTGAAAACATGGTAAGCCCGTAAACAGTGTGATGCCTGACCTACGTAAACAAGCCTGCAAGATTTAATAATTTATTGTGATTGTAACAGAAACAAAATTCAAACGAAGTTTCCTTCGAAGTAAAATAGAAAACCAACAAGTACTGAATTCGAAATCACCTCAATAATTTAGTTCCGTTAGGTGAAAAACGGAATTCCCTCTGCGCCTCATCTAAAATTGATTGAACTGTTCCTGTTTTCTCGGGAAAGACAGTAGTTTCCTGAAACTCATAGAATACATTGCTCTCAAACTGAGTGCCACTCTGCTTCCGCATAGGAATGTATAAATGTTCAAAAAAGCAACCTTACCGTAATTTGCATTTTTTCATCCATCATCTGCACTCTCATCTTATAACGTCGTTCGAGATCGCTCACAGAAATGGGCATCTTTGTATAATAAACACGATAGCGTTTCTGTCGCCGAGGGTCGTGTTTATGTGGACTTGTCAATCCAAGAAGATCTTTCACTGAATAAACCCGTAGCTCATGTTCGTTCAAATGATTGTTGGTTGGTTTCTCGTTGTACTGACTTACCTGCAGCTAATTCGTTAAAATATTCTTGTCATAAATAGCACAACAAATATCGCGCTTATTCACAATTTTCTGCAACCAAATAAATTATGGTACGGAAGATATGACCTTCATAATTCTTTCAATAGTGTAGATAAAGAATATCTAAACACAGTCATCCATCTACAAGAAAAATGAGACGAAAAGCTTCTGAAATTTTTGTTCTAAGTGTTTTTAACCAGCAAAGAAGTGTTGCTGCACTTAGTCCCAGGACGGAAATGAAATGAATATATCTGCAAAGCTTAAGCCGAAAGAATTTACTGTAATCCTTGCAAAGCATTAGACCAATCCATTTTTATTAGTAATAAGAGGAAACAAATTCTCAATCTAAATCTTGTTTGAAACATGCCCAGTAATACAAATTACCTTCCACAAGAGGATATGATCCGCCGAACATTCAATACCACTAGCGATCCACTGCATCAGCTGTCCCATAGTCCATGTCTGCAATATATATATATAATGCTAAAAGAATGTCAGAATATTTATGAGAAATACCAGAATTTTAAAGCGATAACCTGACTTATTTCTCCCAAAATTGGTTCAAATTGTTCATTCAAAGGTGTCCCGAAACCTTCCGGATTTTGCAATGCCTCAACTTGCATAGCATTATATTTTGTTGTATAATACAAATGAGCGTTATTTTCTGTAGTTGATTTATCGGTTCTTTCGAATACCAACAAAGTACCATCGACTAAGTCCACCAATGCGTGATCTTGCGATATCATATCGTCTATGCATAAGGGACGCATTCGATCCGGTGCAATCTCCTAAAACTTTTGAATAACCTATTACCGAAAAGAAAATTTTGACCATTATCCCTTCACGAATTAAATTTGCTCGTCCTTCTTGAGCAAGGCCTAATGTTTATTTCAGAAAAATCAAAGTTCAGCACCTTAAGTAAGAGAAATCGATATTTGTATATATTAGATCTCAATATTACACATTAAACCTAATTTCTGTAATATATGTGATGAAGCAAGAAGTTCACAAAATGATTTTCCAGATGATATATCTACCTTATAAACATAAAAAAATGGGAAAATACTTTCAGCGGTGTAAGTTATACATCAAAAACTTCCATCAAACCTGCGAGCACAATTGTCAGTAATTTAATAACTTTTATATGAGAATAATTTGCAGCATATCTTCCTGCTTTTTACTCCGCCATTTTGTTAAAGATTATGCAAATGTTACTATTAATAAACATACCTCATAAAATTTCAATTCTGTCCCTGGAGGCAGACGGGCTTTTTGTAAAATTTGTGGCAAATAATTTCGAATCATCGATTTATAATTGATCATTATGTGACCACAAAAGAAAGTCATCTTCTCATCAGCATCATAATATTTTAAGAAAAACATCATATCATCTGCAAAAAAAATATAGATTTTGCAATCACATATAAGCGTAATAAAAAGACCGATGCAATGATCATATTCAAATATTTAAAAAAAAAAACTGACTTGATTCATTGTATGGCGGCAAACCGTTGAGAGAATTTCCCGAATCTTGTGCGGTTTCGAGAAAAACAATGTTGCGATCACCTTCAAGAGCCATATCAACACGACTTGAGTGCGGTCGTTCACCATCACGCTTCAGCAACGTCGACGGGCGAAGACGATTCAAAGAAAGTGCATTATTCCTTTCATCCCGAATTGTGTTTTCATGTACTTGCCACAGGCGAAAGTTATTTTCGCTAAGATGCTAAAAAATTAAATAAGTTTGATAGTGACAACATTACCTATGAAGTCAGTCAAAAAAAAAAAAGAGAAAATACAATTAAATACTGAAGAAATTTGAAATCAACTTACAAACTCTTCTGCAAATAGTGTATATAGCTGATCAATACTCATCTTCTTCTCAACCTTTAGTCGACGAGCCTCATCCAGTATTTTCGGATCGAATAAATCAAATCCCGAATAGCTATACATATGCTCCTCTAATATCACCTAAATAACCATTAGTTAGGAAAAACATGACGCTTAAGAAACAAAGATATGGCAATTATAATGAAACCAAACTTACAATAAGCTCTGTAAAAAGATGGGCTTCGAGTTTCTCTTTCTTCTTTTTGGCATCGGCTGATTTTTCTTCCTCAAATCGTAGTCGCAAATGTCGCGGAATATCTTCTTCCGCCACCGGGCACAAAACGTCATCTACAAACATAAGAACAATAACATAAAGAAAAAATTTCGATTAAAATAAAACTCTACGTACAAATAAAAAGTGGAAGCTTTTCAAAAATAGAAAGTAAATGCTTAAAAATTAAAAATACTTTTGTTTGAAAGAAGAAAATAATTGAAAAAGGAAACTTACTTATACAACTTTTTTTTATATAAACAAGCATATAGGCATTGGTAAATGATTTGCCTGGGAGATCGGGATCATCGCCACCATAATTTGCCTCTATAGCATCACGAACAGAAGCACGAGAAACAACATCATCATCAAATTTGCACCACTGGAAATGAGTACCCATATCCTATTGGAAACTATACTGGATTAAAAATATGCTTATGAAACAAACAAAATAAATATCAAAACAAGTCAGAAATTGAAAATACAAAGTAAACCAATATAATACAGCCAGTGCACACTTAAGAAAAACCAAATTATAATAGTAAAAAAAAACGCACCTTAGGTGGTCCACCCAAATTTGTGTTGATAAAAACTACATAATGACCACCATGGAAATCACCTGAATGTACTAGGACAGCATGAAGTAAAAAGTCCTGAGGTTCTTTCTTGTCACCCTCTTCTATGAACGCATTCAAATTTAAAAGTGCAGGGAACTCGAACCTGCAAAAAAAAAAGAATGGTAAGGTCGAGTTTTGTTCGAAGCCATTGATAAACTGAAGCAATATGGAGTACCGGTCATTAATTTTCACGTTTGCATCCTGTAATGCGTCATACTGGAAACGCATCAACTGCAAATGTAAAATCGGAGGAAATGAAATGAATTTGACGCCTTTAACAGCTGGCTGCAAACCGAATTCCCCAGCATCGTATTTATTATCACCATCAAGTATTTCTGCAGCCGTATAATCAGAGAAGGATTCTAGAACTGAAAACCACTTACATGAACAACTGAATTTTGCTTTTGCTTGTTAATTTCTTTACATAATTTTAATATCTACATAGGTAGCAGAAGCTGGATTGATAAAAGATACAGATCATATTAAGAATCATACCATTTGCTTTGCCTTTGATGTTAAGCTGAAGATCATAGAATGATTCAACCCGATTTGATTCAAAACATACATTTTTACAGCGCACGTATGACTTCATTTTTCCTTCAAACAAAGAAGGGATGGTATTTTTTACCTAAAATATAAACTTTTTATAATATAGAGTTCATATTACTACCTAAATAATGCAAAAAAGAATGCTTAAAAACGATAAATTACTAAAATAAATTCTTAAATCAGTCAAACGTGTTTCGAAAACAATTTAAATATTATTTGCATCAAAATCAAAAGATTTCATTGAGGAAAGCAATAGTTTTACGTGTTCAGAATCAAATGTTACTGCAACCATACCACTACCTAAGTACTGCACAAAAGAATGCTTAAAAAAGATAAATTATAGTTACTAACAGAATACTGGACTGTACTAAACATCAAAGGATTGAAAAAACACCTTCGTTCCAGACATTTTATTTTCTAAATTATCCAGCAGTACACGACACAACTCCTGTACATCATGCTGATGAAATGACTCGACACTATCCCATCCGAATGATTTTGTCAACTTTTTCGTGCCAACAGGTTTGTCCGAATTTTGTAATTCATAAAAAACACGCTGCATAGCTAATGCTACCGAGGTCTCTGGATCATCATTTTCAGTTGGCATTTGATACACGGCCTGAAAATAGTGAGAATAAAAAGTTCTATAAAAGTTGTCTTTCTATGTAGTGAGAGAATAAATCCTGAAATCTGTAGCCAACCTTCCTCAGTTGATTGGTGAAGAAGAAAGTCTGCAATATCGAATTCATGTAACACGTTGCACCCTGATTTTTAAGACCAATAAAGCCAGCATGTTTCTTGCTATCCCATCTACATGAAAAATCTTTTAATAAAAAAAAAAGAAAGAAAGAATGGAATTCCAATGGCTTTTCGATGAAAAAATTTGATTTCCATAGTTTGCTGATATGTTTGATTACAAACATGTAATCAAAACTATGTATAAAACTTTACATAATAGTAGAAAGTACACAAAGGAGGTAAAAAAAGTGAAAACAAACTGCACGCCATGAGGAGCATCCGCCATAACTAACACTTCCAGTTTGATAGTATCGTCTTTAATGTAACCGCTTTCAGGGTTCAGAAGTGTCTGTAAATAACCGTTTCTTGCTAAACTTCTAATGACCATACTCATAATTTTGCAGAAAGACTAACACAATAAGATTAAAGTGAAAATGTTAACATCTAAATCCTGTAGTTGAGATAGCAAAGCTACAAAATAAGCATACACTTTGTAAATAACAAGAAACAATTTACTTCACACGGAAGGAACTGTGAATAACCCCAGTCATTCTCCTTTTGATAGAAAGTATGATTGATTCTTCGCACATGGTTCTCAACTCCGGGTTTCTGTGACAAGACAGTGAGGATAGCACTTGCAGTACATGACCAAGAAATCGCTTCTGCTTCTCCATTACATTGCAGGAAGAAGCCAAAAGCACGCCCAGCTGAGCGGCGCTCACTTTGAAACTGCAACTTGACATTTAAAATCCAACATAAGAGAAAATCCTACCCGTTTTTTGTTTCTTCAAAACGTTTATGAAACGAAAAGCAACCATATTCAAACCTAACAGAAAAAAAAAAAAAAAACGAACTCTATTCTGCTCCCGTGGCATTGCTAAAATCCTCCATGGTAAACCTCTAACAAATATCGGTTCACTCAATTTCTGATGCGTTTCAGATGAGCCACGAGCAAAGTCACTGAAGTGGTCAATATCCATGCGTAAAACTCCTTCCGGTTTATACGGATCTGCAATTAAGAATGGAAGATGAAGGAAAAAAGTCAAACAAATGTTATAAATGTTAAATGAGAATCGAATGGGATTATTTTTCAATCATAACATTCAATTTCATATGAATAGTAAAATGAGCAGTTTACAAACAGTAAAGAGCCACTCCGAACTTCAGTACTATTTAAGCAAAAAGATGGACAATAATAGTTTCATGTTAAACTGAAATACGAAACTAGATTTTAAAGGATCGAACAAAATTCATACCATCCTCTTCACAATCTCCGGGTAATGGAGAACTGCGTCCTGAAAATAATAAAGGTTAAACCATAAATCAACGGACAAAAAAGTAGAGCTGTCTTCACAGCCAACAACACACGCATAATTTTAAGGCACTGAAAAATAAAAAAATAATCACTGGAACATAATTAGTCTGCTTATGTCCATTCGAAGTAAAGTGGACTACCCAACCTTACGTTCTGAAAGATGATATTGCTTCTTAACAAACAAAATTCGTTTTCCACTTCACGGCAATAAATGCCCTTCACCAAGATTTCCACATAGAGAATGCGAAAATTGTACTCATACTCACCTTCATTAACATAGGCTGTATCCATAGCATCTTCCTGATTGTTGTGCTGTGCTGATGCTTTAAGAAAATTAACTCTCCCACGAGCATTTTCTTTATTTTCATGCTACAAATATGCCAGCGGATGAATAACCTTGGATTATCACCAAAATACGTAAAAAAGATGTGAAACCTACAACGCATAAATTCTATCCAGATTTCAATCACCATATATCCGCATTAATAATACATGTGAGAAAAATGTTTATGAACAAAGTGGAAAAGAAAGTGTCGTTTCCAACAAAAGTACAGAGAGTAAGAACTCACTTCTTCAGCGAATGGGACGCCATTGTCGACATCGTCATCTGTATCACTGTTTTTCATTTCCCGTCCACGCTGTCCGCTCCCAAGATCGTTTGTCATCTAAAAAAGAAAGAACAAATTTCTTTTGAAATAAAGTGATCCAGCTCGCCTAACTTCTCAGCGCTTCGTACACTAGTTGCAAAAAAATAAAAACTTTTGTAAAAATCTGCAGTGATAAAATGGAAGAAATCCGTATTCCAACTTTAACGAAATCTCATTAAATTCAAGAGACAAAAAAATTTTCCTGTATTGTACTACACTCCTGATTCACTTTCAAATACTTCGGATGCTATGGTATTACAGTGCCATTTATAATGAGCTCGCTTGATAAATACACAGATCCAGAAAACGCGCTTACCACCAACTGCCACACCCAACAGAACCGTCTCGAATGCAACGCAGACGCTCACTCGCCTTCCCCGACAACCTCCAGCCCTACAATAACACGCACCAATACTTCACGACCGCTTCTTAAGCTGCAACAGTCACATAGTGAGAAATACTGTAACGGCGAGTTTCGTTTCAAAATCCGAACAGAACGGAACAGCTTATGTGTGGGCATAAGTGGAAACTGAAATTTGCTTGCCGATGTTACGTTATGACAGAGACGGGGTGAAAAGAGAAATGTTGGGGAAGTCAGGACAAATTCAGCAAAGTTCTTGGTAACATTTCAAGTACGTAGCCATTTCTTATATCCCGTTGTATTCCCATCGCAAAAAATACACACCGATGCTCATCAGCTACACAAATGTCCTTTTCCTAAAGACTCGATAGATTCTACATCTATTCTCCGTTTTAGTAGACGCAATTCTAAGAAATCATCTGGAATATTCTGATCGACCGAAGCCACACTTCGAGAACCACCTCCGCTCATCTCCCGTTTCATACAAACATCCATGGCAGTAAACCGACCCGTCAGAATGCGGCCTTTTTTACGTCCGTTTGACAGCAAATTATCGCTGATGAGTTATCCCCACAGTGTGGATGCAACAAACAACACCGCCATATTCCAACCTTATACTGTTAATAAAGGTGAAAATTACCTCCATTACTTTTAATGACATACTTTCTATCTTCATATCCTGGCATGTCAAAAACCAAAAGCACACAAAAAACCACAGTGATAACCACTTTCCTAAATGCTGTTTAAGTACTATTTCACGAACCTTACTTCCCCCATAATTCATCTAGACCTGTATATCTTGCCATTTATGAAGCACAGCATTAATGATAATAACGGCAGCATAAGTAATTCCAAAGAACGCAACAAAATCCAGTGAACAGATACAAAATCACGATGACATGGCAGTATATGCACAATTCGAAATGACTACTCTATTGTATAAAGGAACACTGATGAACATTATATGCAACGCAGAAAATACCTATTCATTTAGGTACAGATATGAAATATACGACTATTTAATCCATGTAGAAGTGAAATGTTAAGCAACAGTGGGTAAATGCATAAGAAATGTGGGAAGTCTCTCCATGACAATGTTATAACAGTCTAATGAAATATTTCTTAAATTCGAAGATAAGCACCAATTATGAAAACAAGAATACTCAACATTACGCCTGTTTTGAATCGAGTGAACTAACCAATGAAGTGCTGGATGCACTTTTAAACTAATTCATAAACATGATAAACCTAAAACAAGGAACCGTGCCTAATATTGGCATCTGCAGATGTCATTGAGGTCAGATGAGTATTTTGTGCTCAAAACTTGGATTCTGAAGGCTATATGCTCACATTCGAATACAGATTTTTCAAATCAAACCTACATTAATCAATGGCAAAAGACAAGAAAAAATTTGCCAATTAAAAAATTTGCAATATGCAAATCAAAACCGAATGCTATGATGCACAGATACCCCGACGTAGCAGATGACCGAACAAACCAATATGCAATTAATATATAACTTAAGCTAGCAAAAAACATATATTATGGCTAAACATTTGATTCCGGAGTTATTTTTAAGGCAAATTTTGATGTCAACGATTGCTGTTCGGTTAGATTAAAAAAAGGAAATGAATGAAGTGAACAAAGCAACTGTACTCCAGCATCATCATCATGTTCGTGACAACGCAATACAAACACTGTGCCATGCCTGATACCGGCGGATGCTTGCACATTGCATACAATTGACCATTTTGTTTCGCTCACATGTTCCTTAAAAACATTAGTCACTATACATTAACCGGATTAATATAAATCATCTATTCACTGATGTATGCATAATCAAAAGTGCGTCCAGTAGAAAACAGTTGATGTATGTATGTACAAAACGTTTAGCAACAGTTATAAACCAAAATTAAAGATTCATTTTCCACATAAAATTTGCAGTTTCGGTGGCAGGAAAAACTAAAAATAATAAAGTCGAAACCAAAAAAAACTAACTGGAAAAGGAAATCTGGAAGAGAAGAATCTCTGCAAAAAAGTAGCAGCAGTAAAACGAAGTGAGAGACAACGAGCAAGATGAGCAACAACTTGATCAGCTGTATGACGAGGCTGTTGTCGAGTAAGTTTCAAATACTTATTCAGTGGCCTTGCAATTGCAGAGAACACTGCTTGTGCTGCCCCAAGTGCTTCCATAGGCTCTCCAAAAATCTGTACAAAACCGTGATTATGTGGCTTTGTAAATTGGATAACTCTAACAATTTCAATACAGCGAAACTTAAAGAAAAATCTCATTCAAAAAATACACCTTATTTTGATTGTTGGCCGTCACGCTTTGAACACTTGCAAACGCCTCTTCAGTAGTACTAATCAAGCGATATTTTCGTTTTTGAACTCGTCGTTCCCACTCTATTATTTCATGGTAACGTTCATTGTGTCCACCAACTCGCCTTTTCGCAGCAGCCTCCATAATCGCGCGAGCGTTAACCTCTGTTATAGTGCATTCGTTACCCAAACCTTCGATATCATACATCTTGAAACCTCCAGCTGGTTGTGACACACCTAAACTATTTACTTATAGATTAAACGAAAGATCTCCTGACATTCACACTTTTCCTATCACTGGAATGCAGCTGTTTCAAATAGGATGCTATAATAAGTAATCGTAATAACCATGAATACACTGTGTAAAAATTTTTAGAAAGAGAATCACTGCCCTTACAATAGAATTTAAGATCAGATTAGTACGCTGTACAGAAATTAAATTCCAAGTAGTGCCCATTCTATTTATTACACCACATTCCACTGGTTTTTATAATATTAATAAAGTACAGGAATCCAACTGAATGCCATCAGACGAAGCTCCAACCATATAATCGAGAAAAATGATTAAATAATAGAAAAGAAAACAAAAACAAGATGTTAAATAAAAAAAAAAAAGATCTTCTATACTAGAGATTATCTTAACGGCAGTTACAGCAAAGCATAACATGAAAATAACTTGCCAGACCGAAAATGCATTGAACCTCCGTTGAACGATTTATCCATATAGGGATTGTAAGACGGGAAAGTAGAATAATACATCCTCAGAACATGGACAGCAGCTTCTTGGATACTCATTAGACCAAGGCTAAAAGTTCGACTTTCTCCATCTGGATCTCTTACAACGCTGACAATGAACTCCGGCCTCAATGCTCGCAGCTCCAAAACAATGACCGTAATGTAGTGTAAATAAAGCATTGCATCGAGCAATGAAAGAGCAAAACCGATAATCACATTACAACTGCTTTCTTTCTCGAATAATATACGGACAGAATAGAACAACCAGAAGGCAAAAAGAATAAATAAAGCTAAGAATGCCAATGCAGCACGATGAAAAAAAAGACGTGGCATATCCGCTGAAGCATGACGAAAATACATGGCCCAAAGTGCGCCTAATAATAGCATTGTTTTTACTGCCAAATTCAACATCAGACCTTGGCAGTCAGCACCACACAATACCTGCAGATTTCGAAATCACAGCAAAACATCTCAAACTGCATCATATGCCAAGGATAGCGCTATTTTAACCTTGTTTACTCTGGTATCAATAGCTGCAGTTCTAAAACGATGGCCTAATGTAGTGTAAATAAAACACCGCATCGAGTAATGCATTTTCGGACCAGATATTTCCCTACTTTACCAGACCTTTTGACATGGAAGAAAGATTACAGAAAAAAAAACCTCAGGCCAACCGAATCCAATTTGATACAAAATAATTGGTAAAGCAACCATAAGAGAAGGAGAAATAACAGCTATAAATGAAATAATCGAAGCACTGAAAAGCCAAAATATCCGAGAACATCTCCTGGCAACAACACGTCCAACAGGAGCCACAAGTGCTCTTTCAGCAAGACCGCTATATGAGTGTTCACTCGTAGTGCCAGTTATGACCGTGGTATTTTCTGCCCAGTTATCATCATCGGCCGTCAGTTTCATGCCCTATATAATCACATAAAAATAAGGAAAAAAAAAGCAAAATTTGAAGGCTGAATATTGAAGAGCGCTTGAAAAATAGAGGCAGCATTTCAAAAAAAAATACCTCACTTGCAGCAGCCGAAAAACTGGGAATGAAGGAGGTACCAACATCCAGTGAACCAGCACATGCACGTGATAAATTTCGAATCATTCGTAAGTTACGATGTGACGAAGAACGTCGCCCCGAGCTCTCTGACACTAAGGACATGAACGGTTCGCAACCTACAGATGGAATCCACACATCTTTAACAATCTGTGATCGAGGAAAAACAATTATTTATTACTCCGAGAATAGAAAATACAAGTAAGTTAAAACCCAAATAATTCTGAAAACAACACTCACTTTATCGACACATCACGATGAATACGATAATTGGTGCATTCGTTACTCCTGAAAGAACGAAAAAGTAACAAGTTCAAAAAACCTTCAGAAACCTTAAGAAAAAAGACGCAACGACAATATAAAGTACTAGAACAACTCAGCTTATCATATTTCTCTTGGTTCATTGTTCTGATTGTTCGGACGGGAAAAAGAGAATGTCGCGTTAAATATTTCGAAATTTTATATTAGTAAACTTATTATAAACGTCTTCAAATGCAAATCAAATGCGAGAATCAGCTTTTAAAATAAAAACAATCAAATCTCTTATCCCAGTTCATCCAAACTGTGTTTTGAGCTACCTTGAGTTCATTATGGCACGAATTATACAAAAAATACTAGGAAGAGTATACAACCTGACTTCTTGAAGAACCAAAACTTACTCACTCACCTATCCTCGTGTACAGCGATGAGTACCACAACCAACACCGTGGTCATCATCTACGAGAGTTAAGCACAGACTACGAACTCTTGAAGGTTTTGTGATACTGTGACTGGGCCGTTAAGAAAAATACTGTCTCACACCAACAATATTTGAGAAAACCCACTTCGCTCGGTTCACTGGAACATGAAGCTTAATTGCGAAGTGAGACATACAGCAACACATTTGTATATGCTGAATACGAACCGCGACATCCTGACGTGTGTGACATGACTGGGTTCGGGTATCGTAGTTTAAAAGGGATGACAAGTGATGCGCAGAGTGGCATGTGACAAAACAGCATGCATCACTAATCGATCCGTACGTAATGGATACGGGAAGGAACTGAAGGCTTGCAGTTGTGTAGAGTGTCTGCATCAAATGATCTTATCAGTTTTGGTTGTGCTGTTTAAATCAGTAAAATAAACATTGCGGTAAATATAGACTTATTGGTAATGACATGACAGTGTTTCCTGTTTGTTGGAAATGATGTTCTAAATCTAGCCGATGAAGCAGTATGTACTGGTTTGGTTATCATTCACTCAGTAACTTCTTCCATCTGCGATGTTGAGTGCCTTAGGGAAGGTACAGGATATGAATGTTACGGCGAATCTACATAAAGACAAACAAAGTATTTATTACTGAGGACTGTTATATAAGTCGCTGCTTTCAAAAATCAGTCCATATGGGAGGAAGCAGGAATAGGCGTGTACTATTCTGGAACCTTCCATACCTCAGTACCGACTTATTTCTTTCTCCTCTTTTTCATGCAAGAAATACAACATCTCTCGCAATACTTTTGGACTGGACTGTGAGCGTACTGATATGTTTCTTGATTATTATTCAGTTTTTAGTTTTTTCCTAATTCTAGTATTTGATGTGCAGTTTACTGAATTCAAAGATTAGATTTGCTAGTATGATCGAAAGGTTAGTTTGCTGCAACCAGCTATTGTGTGGTTCGTTGTTGTGTTCTGGAACCCTTTCATGATAATACATATTCGAACTTCATCATAAAATAGATTTCGAACCTTTAGTACCTCTGGACTATGTATCTGTCGTGGTCGTCAACCTTTTTTTCAACATTCACTATACACCATCCTTCGTGAGAAATACTTTCATCGGTACGGAACAGTTCTGATTGCTACCACTGACTCGGCGCGAATTCTGCGAATACTGCCTATAGCTTAACACGAACGACTTGATGGATGCACGACAAGCTGCGCAGTTTGGTAATGTATCAAGACTGCAGGAGTTATTAGCTTCTGGAGAATGTACACCGGATACGCTGGATGCTGATGACTGTTCTTTGCTACATTGGGCCGCAATTAATAATCGGTAAATTTCTTCTTGTATGTGTGTTTCTGAGTTCTACCAACACTCTTATTCGAATATTGCATATACGGAGTATTGAAGTAAATTTTAGTTAAAATTTCTAATGCGTTCAAAAGATATTTCGTATATCAAATTTTATTTTGCGATTTTTTAGTTTATCGATAACTCGAATATTAATCGATCGTGGTTGCAATGTCAACGCAATAGGTGGCGTGCTTGCTTCAACACCACTCCACTGGGCAGCACGACACGGCCACACTCATATGGTTGCTCTGTTGGTTGCTCATGGAGCTGATCTCCATCTAAATGATGTTGAAGGTATTTTTAAATTGCTCGGTTCTTGGAATCATCCACTAGTATTTTTATTTGTATTTGTCACTGTTAGTTACACTTAATTGGGCGCTGTTTAAAATAGGATACAGAAAATTGAATTTTGTAGTCACGTGAACCTTTATTAGTGCTCTTTGCAATTGTTGTATAGTCAGATAGGTGATATATAATTCAAGAGGAACTTAATCCAAGTTTCATGGTACTGTATTGTCAGAAGTACAAATAGTAATGCGGAAACTGTTTTATTGGTACCTCAAATTAAGGCACTTCAACTTGACGTTGCAGGTTTTACTCCTCTTCATGTTGCTGTACAGTTTGGAAGAACATCAACAGCTGCATATTTGATCGCTGCAGGACAATCTCCCGATGAAAGAGATGAAACAATGATGACACCGGCAATGTGGGCAGCGTATAAGGTTTAAAATAATTCTAAAAAAATATTATTCTAATCTGATGAGGCGTGGTTTCATAAACTGCCTTTGTATATTACATTATTCTTAATTTATCTCATTTAGATGACTTGATGTATTGCGTTTTCAGGTTTTCAGTCGCGATCCTCTACAGATGTTAATAACGATGGGTGCTGATTTGTCTTGTACCGATACAACTTATGCAAATACAGCTTTGCACTGGGCTGTTATACAGGGCAACCATTCAGCAATTAATGTTTTGATAAAATATAATGCAGAATTAGTGCTTCGCAATCGTGATAATGAAACTCCCCGTGACATTGCAATACGACGAGGAGATATCATTAGCGCACGGATTTTGGAAAGGGCTGAACGCAGAAAACGACTGATCTCTTCAACTTTTATTCAATATGTGAAGGAAAATGATGTTTGTTCATGAAATTCAACTGTTTATTTTATTTTTTGAACCTTTCCAACTTGTTTAATATTTAAACCGCTTTTTTCGATTTGGCTATCTTTTATAGATATTAATATCACGAATAATGTTTTTTCTACCGGTGTGTATTATGGTAGCTGTGGGTTTAATCTTGCACGTTATTTTGTCTTATATGGTCAAAGCTTTATTGCTATTATTAGTTGGTGTTTTTGGACGAATTGTTTACAGGTATTTGTTCGTATTATTTTTGATCTCAGTTCACAAAAGTTTTCCGTAACAATCTTTTCAAGAGGCTTGATTTCAGGTCACTTGCAACAGATCGAAGTTTCTACATCATACCTTTAGGTGCAGCAGTTGCGTCAAAGATTGTTTTGGCAGTAACTTGGCTACTCTATCTGCATGCCTTTGCCGGGTGGTATTGGCAAATTAGTTTCTTCATACTTGTAACACTTGCACCAGTATTGTTTTTATGGATCATTTTTTCCGACCCTGGTATCATCACCGTATCTCATAAAGTAACTGCTTTGGCGCATATTTTCTCCCATAATTTTTCAGGAATTGTTTTGGGCAGTCTTTACATTTCTTTATTTTTACTGTTTCAGCATAAATACTATTTTTTTGAAAATTTCAGTTTTTTTTTTCCACTTTTTATACTCGCTAGAGTAGATTAATTTTTTTATTTTATTACATGGATTTTATTAAGTGGAATATCTCAAAATAGTATTTGAAACTCAATTATTACATCTTCATTTTGAATTTTTACCTTGTGTCATTTTAAAATTGCTGTTGATTTTGATCTTCGACATTCGGAAGTCTATTTATATTGTACTTCTAGGAACGGTGTGAAATGATACGCGATATGTGGGAAAAAGAAAGCCGACAAGCAGTCTCATTTTGTAGTACATGCTTATTAAAAAGGCCAGCAAGGTCAAAGCATTGTTCAGTGTGTGATCGCTGCGTCAAAAGGTTATTTTTGTTTAATTACGGTCCGTACGGCGATCAGGTAAAGTTCTGCTTCAGTGAAACAAGATTGTTCCTCTCCTTTTCTTTTCCATTTTATCCCGAATATTGTTCATAAACCCTGTTTTTTGGAAAGTTACTGATTTCTTCACATGAAATTTAAATAATTGTTCTCAATTTCTTAGCACTTAGTCTTTTTCAGCTTGCTAGATTCAGATGCGTGTTTTCTGGTATAACGTTGTGATTTCGTTTCCGATTTTCAACTTTTTGCTTCTGAATTAAGTTTTGAACACAAAATGCGGAGAATCTGCTGTTATTACAGCTGTTGATTTTAGAGACTTTACTTCCACTTCATTTTGAACCGTGCAAAAGACAAGATTATCCCCGAAATTTTTTGTAAAAAACCGAAATGGAATCGCTCACGACGTCAGCATTTCCCATTGGAATACAATAGCAACCTTTACCTCGTTCATGTTGTCGTATTAAACTTCACTGTTGTCAAGAAATTGCAGATTTGATCATCACTGTCCTTGGGTCCTGAATTGCATTGGAGAAAAAAATCATTTGCACTTTGTTTTTTATCTCGGTATTGTGATTGCTTCTTCACTACAGTTTCTCGTCGCAACTTTTCATTGTAAGCTGTTTTCCTACTTCAACATGCTTAGCAAACTTTTCATATCCCAGATTAAAGCTACTTGCACTATACGAACCTTAACAATTCATGGACTGGACGAAAGGGACTTCGACTTTTCCCAGTACTGAAACAATACGAACAAACGGTAGCGATGTACGAGACTGAATGATGTCTTTCTGGCAATTTCAAAGAATGCATTGTCACTACCTCTACTAATTTCTTAGCCATAAGACAGTAGAACATTGTATGCTAAATATTTTATCGATTAAGTAATCGAGAAGCAAGACATGGAACTCTGATGTAGTAACTGAACAACTAGAGTGCAGCATGCGTAGAAATTTGCAATGAAATGCCTTCTACATATTTCAATTGTTAAATTTATTTTTACAAATCACAAGTGTTTCGAAAAGAAAATCTCAAACGAGCTCCCTGTAAAATTCATGTGAAACCAATGCATTCAATTTTTACCAAGATAAACATGACTGTTTCAAGGATTTGTAATTAATTACATGATTTTAAGATTGGCGCGATTCATGTGGTGAAATCTCTCAAGCAAATATTACATACTGTAATCCCTGGGTGACCTATGTCTTTGTTATAGCGCTCTATCATTTTATATGGACAAGTGCGATGCTTATATTTCAAATATATCAGGTGAGAGCAAACTTATTAAGCATATGAAGAATTGCATGTTTCACTTCATCTTGTTAGATTTCGGAATTATTTATGAATACCTGCAACTGCTTTAAATGTATCAAATCTTCCACGAACCGCAAGCAGTGTTTTGTGCTCCACATTTAAGTTCATAGTTTGATGAAAGGCATAATTGAGGTCAGCATTATTTTTTTCCTTTGAAGGGAAAAATGCGGACAAATATGAACGTAGACACCCTGTTCAAAGCTTATAAAAAGTTCACAATTTGCAGATACTCTGTGAAATGACAACAAACGAAAGACTTAACGCTTACAGATATGAACATTTCCACTCAACCGGTGACCACTTAAGAATAAAAAGCCCGTTTTCGTGAGTGATTTAGTATGAATTTGGTTCAAAAAGAAACATCACAAAACTTCGTACAATTAAGAATCTATTAATTCCGAAAAAGGAGTAAAGAAAAAAAAAAGTAAAGCATGGAATGTGAACCAGCAGTATGGCAGCAATTTTATAACTCCTGTTGTTTTAGGAAAGGAATGCTACAGAATTTATATAACTTCTGTTGCGGAGGTGCCATTGCTTCCTGCGAAGAAGAGAATCAGTTAGATTAGTTATAGTTGTC